GCTGGCGTGGCCTGGCCAGGAGATCCTGTTCCTAAGATCTGCAGGTGATGCAGGTGAAGATTGTCAATGGTGGGCCCTTCTCAATCAGGTGGTCACAAGTCGTCGCAAGAGGCGATTGTGAGTGCAACATCACCTCCCGGGCAAGTTCAAGCGGACGGCATGAAGATAATCCCTCTGATGTGGCTTTTAAAAAAAAATTAATCGCTTGAGCACGTGGATTAAAACGTCGGACATAACGCCCAAAAAAAAACTTTCGGATTTCCACCCAAACAGTTTACAACATTCTTCCTTGAACCGTGGCTCCCATCTCCCCCTGATCCACCAACTCGCCCGGCCGACCTCCACACGAACGGATCGGAGCACCACGCTGCGTCACCGGGAGATGTGAACTTTGAAATGACAAAGTCACGCGATTGACGATAATTATGGTTACGCGACAAAAGCGTGCAAACTGCTTTAGACGGGGAGTTGAGCCGTTGGCTGCAGATGAATGAATAAGGCCACTCGCCGTTTCCATGCGTCTGGCACTTGTCAACATTATTTCCGACTATAATCACTCTCAAATGTCTGTCCGTCCCGCGCGTGACGTCACTCCACATGAGGCCCACCCCCCTAATTAATATTAATGAGTGGGTGGAGTTTTACACGAACGCAAAGGAAGGTCGAGCTGAATTAATTGAGTTATTACGCAAAGTCGCTTCAAATATGACGTCCCTTTACAGAAAGTGACGGTAAAAAATAAGTCTACGCAGCACATTGCTACATCCGTGCGTGACGTCACTGCAAAAGAGCCCCCCCCCCCCTCATTAATATTCATGCACGCGTGGAAATTTCCACTAACGCACCCCTCCCCAATAACCATGAGGGGGTGACGTCACTCCACCTGCCGCACCCCTCCCCAATAACCATGAGGGGGTGACGTCACTTCACATGCCGCACCCCTCCCCAATAACCATGAGGGGGTGACGTCACTCCACATGCCGCACCCCTCCACAATAACCATGAGGGGGTGACGTCACTCCACATGCTGCACCCCTCCCCAATAACCATGAGCGGGTGACGTCACTCCGCATGCCGCACCCCTCCACAATAACCATGAGGAGGTGACGTCACTCCGCATGCTGCACCCCTCCCCAATAACCATTAGCGGGTGACGTCACTCCGCATGCCGCACCCCTCTCCAATAACCATGAGGGGGTGACGTCACTCCTCCTGCCGCACCCCTCCCCAATAACCATTAGCGGGTGACGTCACTCCGCATGCCGCACCCCTCCACAATAACCATGAGGGGGATGACGTCACTTCACATGCCGCACCCCTCCACAATAACCATGAGCGGGTGACGTCACTCCACACGCCGCACCCCTCCCCAATAACCATTAACGGGTGACGTCACTCCACATGCTGCACCCCTCCCCAATAACCATTAACGGGTGACGTCACTCCACATGCCGCACCCCTCCCCAATAACCATTAACGGGTGACGTCACTCCGCATGCCGCACCCCTCCACAATAACCATTAGCGGGTGACGTCACTCCACAGAGGGCAACCTCCTCCATCTCATTAATAATCATGAGCTGACCAATTTTTCTGTTTAACATTTCAGATTTACTGCAATATACACCCGCGTCCTTGGGCGGGCAAAAAAAGCAAATTTTAATATTTTACAATTTCCAATCGTCTCCGCAGACTTCTGGCAGCGCCCGATGTCATAAGGCAGCGGTCGGGAACCTATGGCTCGCGAGCCATATATGGCTCTTCCGGTGACGGCATATGGCTCCCAGACAATTTTGAGTTGAAAAAAATAATAATAAAAAAATAATAATAAAATCAGTTTGGAACTGATTTTAAAATACTTGTGATATTGCTTAATAATACCGTGTCATTTTAAAGTAAACAGAAATTAGTTTTAAAGATAACATTTCTCGGGTCACGGGTCCCGTGACCAGGAGTCGCATTAAAAGTAAGACATTTAATTTATTATACGTTAAAAATACTATATGGCTCTCATTGAAATATATTTAGAAATATTTGGCTTTTATGGCTCTCCCAGTAAAAAAGGTTCCCGACCCCTGTGATAAGGATTTTGTTCAGCACGAGCCAACGCCAGAGCGGGTGAACACGTGGGCAGGCTTTCGCGACCAATACTATTCGTTATCAAGGTTTGCTGGGTTCGATCGCGTTATTTATAAATGTGTCCGTAACCCTCCCACCACCCGACACTGCCAATTAGTGAGGGATTTGGTGGAGGGGGGGGCTGGTGGAGGGGGATGGTGAGGGGGGGATGGTGGTGGTGGAGGGGGGGGGCTGGTGGAGGGGGGGGGCTGGTGGAGGGGGATGGTGAGGGGGGGATGGTGGTGGTGGAGGGGGGGGGCTGGTGGAGGGGGGGGCTGGTGGAGGGGGGGGGCTGGTGGAGGGGGATGGTGAGGGGGGGATGGTGCTGGTGGAGGGGGGGGGCTGGTGGAGGGGGGGGGCTGGTGGAGGGGGGGGGGGCTGGTGGAGGGGGGGGCTGGTGGAGGGGGATGGTGAGGGGGGGATGGTGGTGGTGGAGGGGGGGGCTGGTGGAGGGGGGGGGCTGGTGGAGGGGGGGGGGGCTGGTGGAGGGGGGATGGTGAGGGGGGGATGGGCTGTGGAGGGGGGCTGGTGGAGGGGGGGTGGTGGAGGGGGAGGGGGAAGGTGGAGGGAGGGGGGCTGTGGTGGGAGGGGCTGGTGGAGGGGGGGGGTGGTGGAGGGGGGGGGGCTGGGTGGGGGGGGGGGGGCTGGTGGAGGGGATGGGGGCTGGTGGGGGGGGGGGGGGCTGTGGAGGGGATGGGGGCTGGTGGAGGGGGGGGCTGGTGGAGGGGGGGGGCTGTGGAGGGGATGGGGGCTGGTGGAGGGGGGGGCTGGTGGAGGGGGGAGGGGAAGGTGGAGGGAGGGGGGCTGGTGGTGGGCGGGGCTGGTGGAGGGGGGGGCTGGTGGCGGGGATGGTGGCTGGTGGAGGGGGGGGGGGGGGCCTGGTGGAGGGGGGGGGGGCTGGGGAGGGGATGGGGGCTGGTGGAGGGGGGGGCTGGTGGAGGGGGGGGCTGGTGGGATGGGGGCTGGTGGAGGGGGGGCTGGTGGAGGGGGGGGTGGCTGGTGGAGGGGATGGGGGCTGGTGGAGGGGGGGGGGCTGGTGGAGGGGGGGGGGCTGGTGGAGGGGGAGGGGGAAGGTGGGAGGGAGGGGGGCTGGTGGAGGGGGGGGGCTGGTGGAGGGGATGGGGGCTGGTGGAGGGGGGGGGCTGGTGGAGGGGGGGGGCTGGTGGAGGGGATGGGGGCTGGGGAGGGGGGGGCTGGTGGAGGGGGAGGGGGAAGGTGGAGGGAGGGGGGCTGGTGGTGGGAGGGGCTGGTGGAGGGGGGGGGCTGGTGGAGGGATGGGGGCTGGTGGAGGGGGGGGGGGCTGGTGGAGGGGGGGGGGCTGGTGGAGGGGATGGGGGCTGGTGGAGGGGGGGGGGCTGGTGGAGGGGGGGGGGCTGGTGGAGGGGATGGGGGCTGGTGGAGGGGGGGGCTGGTGGAGGGGGGGGGGCTGGTGGAGGGGATGGGGCTGGTGGAGGGGGGGGGGCTGGTGGAGGGGGAGGGGGAAGGTGGAGGGGGGGCTGGTGGTGGGAGGGGCTGGTGGAGGGGGGGGGCTGGTGGAGGGGGGGGGGCTGGTGGAGGGGGAGGGGCTGGTGGAGGGGGGGGGGCTGGTGGAGGGGGGGGGCTGGTGGAGGGGGGGGGGCTGGTGGAGGGGGAGGGGCTGGTGGAGGGGGGGGGGCTGGTGGAGGGGGGGGGCTGGTGGAGGGGGGGGGGCTGGTGGAGGGGATGGGGGCTGGTGGAGGGGGGGGGGCTGGTGGAGGGGGAGGGGGAAGGTGGAGGGAGGGGGGGCTGGTGGAGGGGGGGGGGGGCTGGTGGAGGGGATGGGGGCTGGTGGAGGGGGGGGGGCTGGTGGAGGGGGGGGGCTGGTGGAGGGGATGGGGGCTGGTGGAGGGGGGGGGCTGGTGGAGGGGGGGGCTGGTGGAGGGGGAGGGGCTGGTGGAGGGGGGGGGGCTGGTGGAGGGGGCTGGTGGAGGGGGGGTGGGCTGGTGGAGGGGGAGGGGGAAGGTGGAGGGAGGGGGGCTGGTGGAGGGGATGGGGGCTGGTGGAGGGGGGGGGGGCTGGTGGAGGGGGGGGGGCTGGTGGAGGGGATGGGGGCTGGTGGAGGGGGGGGGGTTGGTGGAGGGGGGGGGCTGGTGGAGGGGGAGGGGGAAGGTGGAGGGAGGGGGCTGGTGGAGGGGATGGGGGCTGGTGGAGGGGGGGGGGGGCTGGTGGAGGGGGGGGGGGGCTGGTGGAGGGGATGGGGGCTGGTGGAGGGGGGGGGCTGGTGGAGGGGGGGGGCTGGTGGAGGGGATGGGGGCTGGTGGAGGGGGGGGGCTGGTGGAGGGGGGGGGGCTGGTGGAGGGGGGGGGCTGGTGGAGGGGGGGGGGCTGGTGGAGGGAGGGGGGCTGGTGGAGGGAGGGGGGCTGGTGGAGGGGGGGGGCTGGTGGAGGGGATGGGGGGCTGGTGGAGGGGGGGGGCTGGTGGAGGGAGGGGGGCTGGTGGAGGGGGGGGGCTGGTAGAGAGAGAGGCTGGTGGAGGGGAGGGGAAAGGTGGAGGGGGGGGCTGGTGGAGGGGGGGGCTGGTGGAGGGGAGGGGAAAGGTGGAGGGGGGGGGCTGGTGGAGGGGGGGGTGGTGGAGGGGGGGGCTGGTGGAGGGGGGGGGCTGGTGGAGGGGGGGGCTGGTGGAGGGGGGGGCTGGTGGAGGGGGGGGCTGGTGGAGGGGGGGGCTGGTGGAGGGGGAGGGGCTGGTGGAGGGGGGGGGGGCTGGTGGAGGGGGGGGAGGGGCTCTATCCGTCAACGTCTCGTGGCTTCAACACGTCGCGCGCGTGGTGATGACGTCACGGCGTTCCCAAGAAAAGCCGCGGGGGCAGCCTTCCTCACCCAAGATGGCGGCTCCCGCGCCTCCCCGTAGATCTCGCGAGAGTAGCCCCCCCCCCCTCCCCCCTCCCCCACCACTGCGTGCAGTCAAACGTCGCCTGCGCCCTTGCCCCGGCACTGCGCGAAGTCCACCCGGGGGATCTTTGTCTTTGTGCAGCCGAGGTTCGTAGGGCGGCTTGCTGCACTTCTTGGTCGCGCGCGCGCACGTGGTCCGGGCCGGGCCAGTCGACTCGTTATCGATTATGTACCGACTCGTTATCGATTATTGATCTTTGTCGGGGATGCTTTTGGCTATGAGCAGGTTGATCGCTGCACTTTTGTGTCTTGCGCGCGCGCGTGTGTGTGTGTTGTGTGTGTTGTGCGTGTGTGTTGTGTGTGTGTTGTGTGTGTGTGTGTGTGTGTGTGTTGTGTGCTGTGTGTGTGTTGTGTGTGTGTGGTGTGTGTGTGTGTGTTGTGTGTGTTGTGTGTGTGTTGTGTGTGTGTTGTGTGTGTTGTGTGTGTGTTGTGTGTGTGTTGTGTGCTGTGTGTGTGTTGTGTGCTGTGTGTGTGTTGTGTGCTGTGTGTGTGTGTTGTGTGTGTGTGTTGTGTGTGCTGTGAAGAAGGGCTCTGAGCCAAAACGTCGCCCACTAGTTACATCTCTCGCATTGAAGCGCGCCCGTTGTTGTTGACGAGTGCGTTGAGGTGTTTGTTGTTGTTGTTGTTCTCGTGTTGTGAACGCGAGTTTGTGCCCACAGACTCAACACTGCCCACAGACTCAACACTACCCATAGACTCAACACTACCCACAGACTCAACACTGCCCATAGACTCAACACTGCCCATAGACTCAACACTACCCATAGACTCAACACTGCACCATAGACTCAATACTACACCATAGACTCAATACTACACCATAGACTCAACACTGCTCATGGACTCAACACTGTCCATAGACTCAACACTGCCCATAGACTCAACACTGTCCATAGACTCAACACTGCTCATAGACTCAACACTGCCCATAGACTCAACACTCCCCATGGACTAACATTCCCCATAGACTCAACACTGCCCATAGACTCAACACTGCCCATAGACTCAACACTACCCATAGACTCATGCAGGGAAGGTGGATCTCCTCAGCCTTGGAAGGCCGTCTACCTAGGAGAAGGAAACTCTGATGTAAAACCTACGGCCCGAGGACCTCGCTGTCACCGTCCCAGCTTGCTAGGCCATGGTAGACGAACCCCGGGTTTAGAGGGTGGGGTCAGTTCTGCGCACACTGCACTCCACTTGAAAGCTCCTTTGCGCAGGCAAGAAGGAAATCTTCACGTCTACCCCCCCCCCCCCGGTCTCACTAAGTCCTGTAGCGATGGGAAAGGGGCGAACCCGGCAGGTGTAAGATGACACTGGCAGCCGCAGTCTCAATCCTGCATGCAGGCGGCTCAGACGCAAGTGGTCGTCTGATGATGACCTGGAAACGACATCATCACCCGGCAGCACCCTGAGCGACCAAGCAGCCTTTTCTAGGGACAGCACTGCTTGCTCCACACGGAGAGGGGCCTAGAAAAGGTGGCCTAAACAAAGCTTGTCTCCCCCTCCCTCAGTTGGCTTACCGCGGTCAACGGGCATCTTCATATGCGGTCGAATTACATCAAAGAATCGACGGCGCATCCCACTCGCCTTAAAAGGTGGGAAAGGACTCAAACTGGCATGCTGGAACATCAGAACCATGCTAGACTCAGCTGACAGCACTCGACCTGAGCGACGATCTGCTTTAATTGCACACGAACTCGCTCTGCTGGATGTTGACATCGCCGCCCTCAGCGAAATCCGCTTTTCAGAGGAAGGCAGTCTGAGGGAGCATGGCGCAGGCTACACTCTCTACTGGTCAGGTAAACCAGCGACAGAGAGACGCCGTTCAGGTGTCGGCTTCATGATCAGGGACTCTATCGCTATCAAGCTTGCAAGCCTGCCAACTGGTCACTCTGACCGCATCATCTCAATGCGTCTACCACTTCGTGACCAGCAACACGCAACGCTGCTCAGTGTGTACGCTCCAACTCTCCAGGCAGATCCCGCTGATAAAGACAAGTTTTACTCCGACCTACGCAGCCTTCTGCAGGATATCCCAGCTGACGACAAGATTGTCATCCTTGGCGACTTCAACGCCAGAGTGGGCAGAGACTCGGAAACCTGGAAAGGCGTACTTGGAAGGCACGGCGTGGGCAGCTGCAACGACAATGGACGCTTGTTACTTGAACTCTGTGCGGAACAGCAGCTTTCCATTACCAACACCATCTTCCAGCAGAAAGACAGTCTGAAAACAACCTGGATGCACCCTCGGTCAAAACATTGGCATCTCATAGACTACATCCTTGTGCGCCAGCGTGACCTAAAAGATGTCTTTCACACCAGGGTAATGCCCAGCGCCGAGTCCCACACAGACCACCGTCTTGTCCGCTGCAAACTCAGCTTTCACTTTAAACCCAGACCAAGAAACGGTGGCGCCCCGAGGAAGAAGCTCAAAGTCTGCAGCCTTCAGTCTGCCGCGGTCAAAGCAGCTTTCCAGAAAAGCCTACGATCTAGGCTAGAGGAACCGAGCTGCCTAGGAGACTGGCCTCCGATTCCTGAAGTGCTGTGGGACTGCATCAAAACTGTTGTTCTGCGAACATCTGAAGATACCCTCGGATTCTCCACGAAGAAAAACAGAGATTGGTTCGATGAGAACAACTTAGAAGTCCAGGAGCTGCTGTCAAAGAAGAGATCAGCACACCAGGCCCACCTGGCCCGACCATCCTGCCCGCACAAAAAAGCAGCCTTCCGCCTGGAATGCAGCACCATCCAGCGCAAGCTTCGAGAGATTCAGAACGAGTGGTGGACCAACCTCGCAGTAAAAACTCAGGTTTGCGCTGATACTGGCGACTACAGGGGATTCTACGAAGCCCTAAAAGCGGTATATGGCCCCTCGTACCAAATCCTGAGCCCCCTGTGGAGTGCAGACGGGAAAAAAACTGCTCACTGAAAAGGACTCAATCCTGAACCGCTGGTCTGAGCACTTCTACACGCTCTTCAATGCTAGCCGCTCAGTCCAAGAACCAGCGATTGACCGCATCCCACAACAACCAGTGAAAACCGAACTGGATGTGGCACCAACATTACAAGAGACTGAGGAAGCCATTAAACAGCTGAAGAGTGGTAAAGCTGCAGGAGTCGATGGCATCCCTCCTGAAGTATGGAAGAACGGAGGCCCAGCACTGCACACCAAACTCCATGAATTCTTCGTCTGCTGCTGGGAGCAGGGTAAACTCCCTCAAGATCTCAAAGATGCAGTCATCATCACCCTGTACAAGAACAAAGGGGAGAAATCAGACTGTTCCAATTATCGTGGCATAACACTTCTGTCCGTCGCCGGCAAAATCCTCGCAAGAGTACTGCTGAATAGATTGGTACCCGCAATAGCTGAAGATCACCTCCCAGAGACCCAGTGTGGCTTTAGAGCCAACCGGGGAACCACAGACATGGTGTTTGTCCTGAGGCAGATTCAGGAAAAGTGCCGGGAGCAAAACAAAGCACTGTACGTCACCTTTGTGGACCTGACAAAAGCGTTTGACACCGTGAGCAGGCAGGGACTTTGGAAAATCCTGGACGAGCTAGGCTGCCCACCGAAGTTCCTCACCATGATCGGCCAGCTTCATGAAGACCAGCTTGGACAAGTCAGACATAGCAACAATCTCTCGCAGCCCTTCCCTATTGCAAACGGCGTGAAACAGGGCTGTGTTCTTGCTCCCACGCTGTTCACCATTTTGTTCAGCATGATGCTCCAGCAGGTCACAGAGGACCTCGACGACGCTGATGGCGTATACATCCGTTTTCGTCTCGACGGGAGCGTGTTCAACCTGAGGCGTTTGCAGGCCCACACAAAGACCATGGAGCAACTGATCAGGGAGCTGCTTTTTGCTGACGATGCCACCCTCCTTGCTCATACAGAGGCAGCTGTGCGGCGAATTACGTCCTGTTTCGCGAAAACAGCTCAGATCTTCGGCCTTGAAGTCAGCCTGAGGAAGACTGAAGTTCTTCATCAGTCCGCACCCCATGAGGAGCACTTTCCACCAAGCATCTTCATTGAACAAACAGAACTGAAAGCTGTCCACCAGTTCAGCTACTTGGGGTGCGTCATCTCGTCTGACGCCAAGATCGACAACGAAGTCGACAACAGGCTGGCCAAGGCAAACAGTGCATTTGGCAGACTATACAAACGTGTCTGGAACAATAGAAACCTTTAAAGAGCCACAAAGGTCAACGTCTACAAAGCTGTTGTGCTGACCACTCTCCTGTATGGCGCTGAGTCCTGGGTCACGTACCGTCGTCACCTGAGTCTCCTCGAGCGTTTCCATCAGCGCTGCCTCCGCACAATCTTCAATATTCACTGGAGTGACTTCGTCGCCAACACTGAAGTCCTCAAGTCAGCGAAGGTCATCAGCATCGAGGCCATGGTCCTCAAGACACAGCTTCGTTGGGCAGGGCACATCGCCAGGATGGAGAACCACCGCTTGCCTAAGATCGTGCTGTATGGGGAACTGTCCTCTGGCCATCGCGACATAGGGGCACCACGAAAGCGATACAAAGACTCCCTGAAGAAGTCCCTCACTGCTTGCTGCATCGATCACCGTCAGTGGGCAACACAAGCAGCTGATCGCAACTCCTGGCGGCACACAGTCCACCAGGCCACCTCCTTCTTCGAAGATACCCGCAGGGCCCGTATGGAGGACAAAAGGAAAAGGAGGAAGAACCATGATCCCTCAGCACCCATCCCAGATGAGACCTATACTTGCAGCAGCTGTTGTGGCAGGACCTGTTTGTCCCGCATAGGCCTCTTCAGCCACCAGCGTGCCTGCAGAAGACATGGATGTCCTTCCTAGATCTTCGTTCGCGAAGCCAAGCCATGATGGTGATGACCCATAGACTCAACACTACCCATAGACTCAACACTACCCATAGACTCAACACTGCACCATAGACTCAACACTACCCATACACTCAACACTGCCCATAAACTCAACACTGTCCATAGACTCAACACTGCCCATACACTCAACACTACCCATAGACTCAACACTACCCATAGACTACCATTACCAATAGACTCTACACTACCCATAGACTCAACACTACCCATAGACTCAACACTACCCATAGACTCAACACTACCCATAGACTCAACACTGCACCATAGACTCAACACTACCCATAGACTCAACACTGCACCATAGACTCAATACTACACCATAGACTCAACACTGCTCATAGACACTATAATGTGCACTGTCCAGGACAGTGCACATTATCAGAGTTATGTTCTTTTGTTTGTATTATGACTGCAGGTATTGCGGTCTATGCAAACATGACTCCTTGTAAAAAGGTGTCAGTTTTGTTGCCAGATAGAAGGGTAAAGAACCAATTATCACTACCCATAGACTCAACACTGCCCATACACTCAACACTACCCATAGACTCAACACGACCCATAGACTTAACACTGCCCATACACTCAACACTGCCCATAGACTCAACACTGTCCATAGACTCAACACTGCCCAAAGACTCAATACTACCCATAGACTCAACACTGCCCATAGACTCAACACTGCCCATACACTCAACACTACCCATATACTCAACACTGCCCATACACTCAACACTGCCCATAGACTCAACACTACCCATAGACTCAACACTGCCCATACATTTCGATTTAAAGCTTTCGTGACTGCAGGGATTCATCTTCTTGGTTCTTTCGGTAAAGTCACGTAGAAGGGAAGTAATAAAATAATAAAACATAATAAAACAATTCTCACGACGTTTCGGCCACAACGCAAGCAGCCGTCCTCAGGTGAAAACCAGGTCCGTCGAGGCGACAGAGTCTGAATGAAACAGCACACGAGCTTGGAGCATATATATATGCACACGAGCTTGGAGCATATATATATGCTCCAAGCTCGTGTGCTGTTTCATTCAGACTCTGTCGCCTCGACGGACCTGGTTTTCACCTGAGGACGGCTGCTTGCGTTGTGGCCGAAACGTCGTGAGAATTGTTTTATTATGTTTTATTATTTTATTACTTCCCTTCTACGTGACTTTACCGAAAGAACCAAGAAGATGAACTGCCCATACACTCAACACTGCCCATAGATTCAACACTGTCCATAGACTCAACACTGCCCAAAGACTCAATACTACCCATAGACTCAACACTGCCCATAGACTAACACTACCCATAGACTCAGCACTGCCCATAGACTCAACACTACCCATAGACTCAACACTGCCCATAGACTCAATACTACCCATAGACTCAACACAATTCATAGACTCAACGCCACCCATAGATTGAACACTGCCCATAAACTCAACATTATACATACATACGTGGTGGCCAGCAGAGGGCAGTGTTGTACGGCCTGCTTCATGCATGGGTTGTGTATCGTTTGCGAGGTGTATGGGATCTGTGCGAGTGTCAGTGAGGTATTCCCTCGCTATTCGCGAACTTGATATCCGCGATGTTTGGCCTATCCGCCAGCCACATCTGTAACTCTGCACGACTGCTGCGTCGAGACATTGAAGTGATGAGGTCAAGTGACGAGATAATGTTACGAGAAATCACATTGATGAGAGACATAGACTCACAGAGAGACCCACAGACTCACATAGAGACCCACAGACTCCCATAGAGACCTAGACTCACATAGACTCATAGACTCACATAGAGACATAGACTCTACGTACGTAGATACCTACAGACTCCCATAGAGACCCACAGACTCCCATAGAGACATAGACTCACATAGAGACAGACTCACATAGACCCATAGACTCACATAGAGAAATAGACTCGCGTAGAGACCCACAGATTCCCATAGAGACTCACAGACTCCCATAGAGACCCACAGACTCCCATAGAGACCCATAGACTCACATAGAGACCCATAGACTCACACAGATACCCACAGACTCACATAGAGACCCACAGACTCACAGAGAGACCCACAGACTCCCATAGAGACCCACAGACTCCCATAGAGACATAGACTCACATAGAGACATAGACTCTACGTACGTAGAGACCCACAGACTCACATAGAGACTCATAGACTCACATAGAGACAGACTCACATAGACCCATAGACTCGCGTAGAGACCCACAGATTCCCATAGAGACCTATACTCCCATAGAGAAGTAGACTTACATAGGGGCCCATAGAGACCTAGACTCCCATAGAGACCCACAGACTCACGTAGATACCCACAGACTCCCATAGAGATCTTTGGCTGAACATTTAGACGCCAAATGAATGTAACCCGTTGCTGCTGTTGTTGTTGTTTTTGTTGTTTGTGGTAGTCACGAAGGAGCTTCTGCCGCTCAAAGTTGCGGCGTGGCAGGGCGCGTGTTTCCCCGCGCGACGTTGCCATGGCGAGGCCGTGTCCCTTCTCGGAGGACAACTTCACGCGGCTCGCCTCGCAGAGCAACGTCTACGGGCTGGCCGCCTTCCGCACGCCGGCCGCGGGCCCAGAGGCCCTCGTGGCGGCCCTCAAGGGCAAGCTGCTGTCCCTGCGGTACGAGAGGGTCGGCACGCCGGGCCGCCTGCGTGCCGTGGCCAGGGAGGTGCACTTCACCTACATACCCGGTACGAGCCCGGGGGGAGGCACGGGATCTGCCTGGGGGGATGAGAGGGGTCTCTAAGGGGTCTCGGGGTCAGGGTCAGAGGGTCAGGGTGGTGGGTTGTGAGGGAGGTGCACTTCACCTACATACCCGGTACGAGCCCGGGGGCAGGCGGGGGTCTGCCTGGGGGGATGAGAGGGGTCTCTAAGGGGTCTCGGGGTCAGGGTCAGAGGGTCAGGGTGGTGGGTTGTGAGGGAGGTGCACTTCACCTACATACCCGGTACGAGCCCGGGGGGAGGCGGGGGTCTGCCTGGGGGGATGAGAGGGGTCCCTGAGGGGTCTCGGGGTCAGGGTCAGAGGGTCAGGGTGGTGGGTTGTGAGGGAGGTGCACTTCACCTACATACCCGGTACGAGCCCGGGGGAGGCGGGGGTCTGCCTGGGGGGATGAGAGGGGTCTCTGAGGGGTCTCTAAGGAGTCTCGGGGTCAGGGTCAGAGGGTCAGGGTGGAGGGGTCTGAGGGAGGTGCCCTGCACCTCCATACCCGGTACGAGCTAAGTGGAGGCCGGATTGAGACTATTTTTAAACAATAGATTTTTTTCTTGTACCACGCTGATCACATTTGCAGTTTTCCCTCCAGAGACCGGCCCTCGGAACGGACTGACCCCCACCGGGCATTTGCCCCCTAGACGGCACCTTTGGCCAGTCCAGGGCCTGCTAGCTACTGACGATGTTGACGGTTCAACTGGACGACGACGGTCACGGGTAGCGTCAACCTGCCTTGTTCCCCCAGTGGACGCTGAGATCGTGTCGATCGACGCGTTCTGCAAACCCGCGCCCAGGAGTGGCCTCGTCATCGGAATCACCTTCATCAAGGTGTCTGCTCCCCCCGCACGCTCCCTCCAGGGTTAACCTAAAGCGGGAGGGTGGGGGGGCGGGGGGCGGAGGGGAACCTACGGAGACCCGTGGGACGAGATGGGCCCGCGAGATTATTTCGTACCGTGACGAAAGCGTCCTCAAATTTGGACGTCAAGTTACGATATTTATCTACGTTTGTTGCCAGGAATAGCCTCCATGGGGTTCCAAGACTCGTTTTCGAGGGACCCTCAAAGGGGTATTGATGGGTGTATTGTTGACCCATGGAATCAACGAGGGGTTCATGGGTTCCTTTGAATGCAAGGGGAAAACACAGCCCAAGCAGGGCAGATGAGGGAACCCCCTTCCCAACAAAACCCGGGTTTTTAAATCCGTGCCTTACACGACCATTGCGCCACATGAGGCCTACCGCTTGGGCGCCACGGTGGCTAGGAGATGTTAACTACCTCGCCTGGTTTACAGGAGGTCGTGGGTTTTATCCCGATCCTGACGCCGGCTGCTGCTGTATATTTGGATTTGTGTTGGTATACAGGGTGTTTAAAAAAACTGTTAATACTTCTTAGAATTTGCAACGATGCCACAAGACATATGGCTCCAGGCTCTGGAGACCACCTGGAGAAGATTCCAGGCACGCGTTGACAATGATGGCGAACAAGTGGAGACTTTTTGAAGCTATTGACATTACATTTGTAATCATGTTACACTGTATGTTACATTAAAAACGATAGTCCCATGTAAGTGTTAACATTTTTTTTAAACTGCCCTGTATATTTCCATTATGATATGCCACTTCATTGAGCTATCAATTGTGTACTCTTAGTTTTTTCGGTAAAGTCACGTAGGTAAAAAAATGAAATTAAAATTAACAAAATAAAATAATAAAAATCACGACGTTTCGGAGGCAACACAAGTCTCCGTCATCAGGTGGGACCGTCACAGCCAGATTTGCTGTATCACTTGATTTGCTGTATCACTTGATACAGCAAATCTGGCTGTGACGGTCCCACCTGATGACGGAGACTTGTGTTGCCTCCGAAACGTCGTGATTTTTTATTATTTTATTTTATTAATTTAAATTTCATTTTTTTACCTACGTAACTTTACCGAAAAAACTAAGAGTATGAATCCTTGCAGTCACGAAAGCTTCAAATCTAGAACTATCAATTGTGGCCAGGTCGCTTCTAAATTAAGCGCTACATAGCTCAGAGGGCCTTACATACATACCTAATACTGGTAGAAACCTCCTGGTTACACCAGCCCACAGGGGATTATTGTGTCCGTCCGTCGTGCATCCAAAAATGGGAGGGTGGGGTTGGGTGGGGTGGGGAGGGGCTGGGTGGAGAGGGGAGGGTGAGGAGGGGCTGGGTGGGGAGGGTAGGAAGGGGCTGGGTGGGGAGGGTGGGGAGGGGCTGGGTGAGGCTGGGTGGGGTGGGGCTGGGTGGGGAGGGGCTGGTCACCCCGTGGTGCCCTTATAAAACTCAATGTTTAACCTACTCACGCCGGCTTGTGCCCGCCCTCACAGTCGGCCATATTTGCGGAATACACCACGCCGCCATTGACCCTGCAGGCCATTGACCGAGCAACCCAACGTTCCTACCAGCTCCCTCCGCAGGGCAACGTGTTGATTCAGAGTCTAATTGTCTTCTTGCTCAAAGTAAGCAATGGGAAACTGCCCGCAGACGATATTCGTCCGTCACTTCAAGCGCCTTGGCCGCACTAATCGTGTTGGACCCGTGTCTCTGTCCCCTCCCGCAGGACTCGGGAGACAAGGCGAGTCCCTTCCTCAACATCTACTGTGACTACGAGCCGGGCTCCGAGTACAATCTCGACTCCATTGCCCGTGAGTCCAGCACTGACCGGCACGGGGAAGGCGGTGACCCCCACCCCCCCGTCCAACAGAGACACCTAGCGCGTCGTCGTGTGTAGTGGCATAGCGCTGGCTGCTGGCGACAAAGGGGATCTGCGACGTACGGCAGCCCTGACGTCATCAGGCCAGGATAGGCACGAGAGGGGAAAGGTCACAGAAGGGGCCCAGCAGGAACCCGCTGGTAGGTTCCAGAAAGGGGGCCTGACCGGGGGCGGAGCCAGACCACGCTGGGAGTATAAGAGGGGCCCATGTGGGGGACCTCTGGGCTGTCGTTGGAGTGGCATCCCAGTCCACTCTCCGCCTGTCCCCCGTGTCTCCCCGTGAACCCGCAGAGAGCTGCCTCAACCTGGAGCTGCAGTTCATCCCTTTCCAGCTGTGCCACACCGAGTGAGTGACACCACCACGCGTACACACACACAGACACACGCACACACACACACAGACACGCACACACACGCACACACACACACTCTCACACACACTCACACACACACTCACCTTGTCGCATCCCACTCTCACCACCAGCCAACCAACTCGCCCTCACCCGTCACCCCTCACACTTTCTCCGCCACACCAAACTATCTCACCAACTCCACGTCACCCCACCAACTTCACTCACTCACTCACCTCTTGTTCATGTGTGTTTGCGTGTTTGCTTTCATATATATATATAAATACGTGTGTGTTCTTCTGTGGGTAGCGGTTTGCGACGAGCACACTCACCTGGAAACGCGAGTTGGAATCCCGCTCACGGCCAACACCGTTTCTGGGCCTCCCCTCGGTCGATTCAGCCTCAAATGAGTACCTGGTGCGGTGTGTAAACCTTAGCATTGGGGAGACAAAGGCAGCCGGGCGTGGTGTTGGCCACCCACCCCCTCGTGTGCCGTGCCGGCCTTCATAGGTGCTCGCTAACAGCACTTGCCCCAACAGTCTGTTAAGGCTGTACGGGGGATATTTCTCTTTGTTTGTTTGTTGTGCGTGTTTGTGTTCACACAGGGTTCAGGATGGGCCCACGAGCGAGACCGTGTTCCTGCTGAGTGGACACGACATGTGCGTCCACGTCTACAAAGAGGTACGGGGATGTCACCTGGATCAACCCCAACAAATGTTGGGCAGACAGGCCGAATGATCGGCACGAGGCTAAAAGAACACCACAGGAATATAAAATACTCCCAAATACAACTGGCGGCAGTGGCAGAACACGCGTGCCAACAAGGACACTCAATTGATTTTGATAATGTTGAAGTGCTGTGCAAAACTAGTTACTACTTGTCCAAGACTACAGTAAAACCTTGGATTGCAAGACGAGCAAAATTTTTTTATAAATTTTTAATTTGATAAACAATCGAGGTCTTGCAATACGAGTAGCACGTGCATACGCTTTGCCTGCAGAGCGTCACGTGATCACAACTGATTTCCAAGTGCTTTGGAATACAAACACGTTTCCGGAAAGAATTATGTCTCGCAATCCGAGGTTTTACTGTAATTATAAATTGAGAGAAATAAATGTTTTTGTTACCTTTTGGATAGCTACAGCCTTAGTGCTTCTTGGAAGCCAATCATCAAAAAATACATTCATCTTCTTGGTTCTTTCGGTAAAGTCACGTAGAAGGGAATAATAAATAAAAAATACAACATAATAAAATACAATTCTCACGACGTTTCGGCCACAACGCAAGCAGCCGTCCTCAAACAAGACATTGTTTAAATGCATGCCTATACAGGCCACCATACTTCAATAGGGATTGCCGTTTTCACGGCTATTTTGGTGCACACAATCGACAGGAAATTCAAGAACAATGGGCTCGTGTAATGCGCGTGCCTAATTAATCCCCCTACAACTACGCCTCTATTTAAGGAACGAAACACGTGGACTTCTCCACAAATCTGGTTGTCGCCTGATATAATTACTGTCGAAACGTCGTACTCAGATTGTGAATGTCGTGGCTTGGCTCTTAAACACGCCGGTGAGTGCTGTGCTGGTAACGGATTGGCCACGTTCTGTTTACGAGATAGACCTTAAAGCTTTCGTGACTGCAGGGATTCATATTGTTGGTTCTTTTGGTAAAGTCACGTAGAAGAGAAATAATAAAATAATAAAAATAAAACCTAATAAAATTTCGATTTAAAGCTTTCGTGACTGCAGGGATTCATATTGTTGGTTCTTTTGGTAAAGTCACGTAGAAGGGAAATAATAAAATAATAAAAATGAAACGTAATAAAATTTTCACGACGTTTCGGCCACAACGCAAGCAGCCGTCCTCAGGTGAAGTAACAGAGCTGTCGGAAAGACGGCGTCATTCGGACGCATCTTTATCGCATCATTCGGACGCTGTCTTTCCGACAGCCCAGTTCTTCACCTGAGGACGGCTGCTTGCGTTGTGGCCGAAACGTCGTGAGAATTGTATTTTATTCAGTTTAATTTTTATTATTTTATTATTTCCCTTCTACGTGACTTTACCGAAAGAACCAAGAAGATGAGAAAAACCTTACTGATTGGCCGTGTCCGCGGGTTTAACGACACATTTATACATTTGCTGCGATCCAACCCAAAAAAATCCGATTTCAAGTGAAACTACGGACACGCACGGGTGTCCACGGTGGCGGCTGACGCACGCGTAAAAAAAAAAAAAATAAACCCTTGGTGACATACGGGCACGGGTCTCAAATCTACGACCGTGCGGTTTTAAGAAGGAAACCGAATGTGCCCCGGTCTTTTGCCAACGCGGCGAGGAGACGTTCTGCTGGTCTTTTCGGTTGCGTCCGTGGCTGCGGCGGCGTCTTGGCAAACGCTGCTCACCCCCCGATTTGCTTCCTGTGACGTCAGAGCGGTACCCAGCATCAGTTTGAGGAGGTTGCCGTGGAGACGTTCTTCCCGGAGCTCACTCAGCTCAGCGGCAAGTGAGTGACGGCGAGGGGGGGGGGGCTGGGGGGGGGGGACACAGGAGGCCAGGGCAGAGGTCGCAACCGGGTACCCGATACCCGTACCCTACCCGATACCCGTACCCTACCCGACACCCGTATCCTACCCGATACCCGTGCCCTACCCGATACCCGTGCCCTACCCGATACCCGTGCCCTACCCGATACCCGTGCCCTACCCGATACCCGTGCCCTACCCGATACCCGTACCCTACCCGATACCCGTGCCCTACCCGATACCCGTGCCCTACCCGATACCCGTGCCCTACCCGATACCCGTGCCCTACCCGATACCCGTGCCCTACCCGATACCCGTGCCCTACCCGATACCCGTGCCCTACCCGATACCCGTGCCCTACCCGATACCCGTGCCCTACCCGATACCCGTACCCTACCCGGTACCCTACCCGATACCCGTACCCTACCCGATACCCGCACCCTACCCGATACCCGTACCCTACCCGATACCCGTACCCTACCCGATACCCGTACCCTACCCGATACCCGTACCCTACCCCATACCCGTACCCTACCCGATACCCGTACCCTACCCGATACCCGTACCCTACCCGATACCCGTACCCTACCCGATACCCGTACCCTACCCGATACCCGTACCCTACCCGATACCCGTACCCTACCCGATACCTGTACCCTACCCGATACCCGTACCCTACCCGATACCCGGCTACCCGTACCCGGCCGGGTACGGGTACCCGTTTGCGACCCTGGTGCGGCCGGGTACGGGTAGGCCGTGAGTCACTGGTGAGTAGCCGTTTGTCACTTATTTCCCAACGTCTTGTCTCTTCTCACAATTCAAGTTCCTAGAATCAACCCACCCGCGCCTGCAACATGGCCGGGTTCGGGTAGCCGGATATCGGGTAGGGTACGGGTACCCGTATGCGACCCTGGTGCGGCCGGGTACGGGTAAGGAATCAAAACCCGTTTGCGACCTCTGGGCCAGGGACTCGGGGTTTTTCTAATGGCAGTGTCAGAGACACTGAGTAAGTACAACTGATGTCCTGGGTTTGAACCACGCTGGGAGCATCACAGGCGCCAGCTTGAACAATCTGGTGCGTGTGCCTGTGTGTGTGCGATGGTGTCGCGGTTAGCGCTACGCTGCGCTACGAACCCGGCGACCCGAGTTGGATTCCCGCTCACGGCCAACACCGGTGGCGATTATCTGAACCGGTCCTGGGCCTCCCCTAGGTCGGGTCGGCCTCAAATGAGTACCTGGTGCGGTGTGTAGTAAACATCGCCACTGGGGAGACAAAGGCGGTCGGGCGTGGTGCTGGCCACCCACCCCCTCGTGTACCATCCTGCTCATTAACGGCACCTGCCCCAATCGTCTGTTGAAGGCTAAACTAAACTAATCTATTTTTATTTTACCAGGTACGGCCTACTGAGCTACAGAGCTTTTTTCAGAAGCGACCTGGCCACAAGTGATATCCCAACGAAGTGGCTCGTCGGGTTGAAATGTATAGCAGCCAAATACACTAAGAAGCACGTTGATTCTAAATGTGGAGGGGAAAAAACGGACGGCCCGGATAAAAATCCCCGCGCGACCACGGGAAGAACATGCGAACTCCAAATATGCAACCGACGACCTCCTTGCACACCAGGCGAGGCAGTTAACATCTCGCCACGGCGGCGCCCCTGGGCTTGACATGGGGGGTGGGTCCTTGTCTCCGCAGCGTGCAGTGGCTGCAGGTGCTGGCGCTGCCGTGTGGGAAGCGGAGGCTCACGGCCGTCGGGAGTCAGAACGGAGCCGTGTCCCTCGCTCTCGTGCAGCTGAGCTCTCGGAGTGCGTCCCGGGGAGACACGTGGGATGCCATTCGGGAGACGGCGGGGGAGGGGGGGTGTAGACACACGGGCAAGAGATGGAATATTGACAGGGAGGCAGGGCGAGACGGAGAAAGACACGGGGAGACGCGCAGGGACACACGGGGGGAGGTGTAGACACACGGACACACAGGATGGACACGGACATACGGGCAGACACACACGGAGACACACACACGGAGAGACACACACGGACACACACGGAGAGACACACGGAGAGACACACACGGAGAGACACACGGAGACACACGGAGACACACACGGAGAGACACACACGGAGAGACACACACGGAGAGACACACGGAGACACACACGGAGAGACACACACGGAGAGACACACGGAGACACACACGGAGACACACACGGAGAGACACACACGGAGAGACACACGGAGAGACACACGGAGACACACGGAGAGTCACATGGGGAGACACACACGGAGAGACACACACGGAGAGACACACGGAGAGACACACACGGAGAGTCACACGGAGAGACACACACGGAGAGACACACGGAGACACACACGGAGACACACACGGAGAGTCACACACGGAGAGACACACACGGAGAGACACACGGAGACACACACACAGAGACACACGGAGAGACACACGGAGAGACACACGGAGACACACACGGAGAGTCACACACGGAGAGACACACGGAGACACACACGGAGACACACGCGGAGACACACGCGGAGACACACGCGGAGACACACGCGGAGACACACGCGGAGACACACGCGGAGACACACGCGGAGAGACACGCGGAGACACACGCGGAGACACACGCGGAGACACACGCGGAGACACACACGGAGAGACACACGGAGAGACACACGGAGACACACACGGAGACACACACGGAGACACACGCGGAGACACGCGCGGAGACACGCGGAGAGTCACACACGGAGAGTCACACACGGAGAGTCACACGGGGAGACACACGGGGAGACACGCACGGAGACACGCGCAGAGACACATGCGCGCCACCACCACCAGCAACCTCTTGTGTGTGCGTGCCGTGTGCAGCCGTGCTGCAGCGGTGGAGCGTGCAGCAGGACGGGCCCGTGACCCACGTGCAGATCTTTCCCACAGGTAAACGAGCGCACGCAACCGCACGCAACCGCACGCAACCGCACGCAACTGCTTGCAACCGCACGCAACTGCTTGCAACCGCACGCAACTACACGCAACTGCACGCAATCGCACGCAATCGTATGCAATCGCACGCAACCGCACGCAACCGCACGCAACTGCTTGCAACCGCACGCAACTGCACGCAACTGCTTGCAACCGCACGCAACTGCACGCAACTGCTTGCAACCGCACGCAACCGCACGCAACCGCTTGCAACCACACGCAACCGCTTGCAACCGCACGCAACTGCTTGCAACCGCACGCAACTGCACGCAATCGCACGCAACCGCACGCAACCGCACGCAATCGCACGCAACCGCATGCAACTGCACGCAATCGCATGCAACTTCTTGCAACCGCACGCAAACGCACGCAACCACAGCCCACCGTACGCACGGCTCACCCTGAACAAGTATTCGCGTGTATTCGTAATGGATGATGATGAACGATCTCTTACACTTCGTGCCGTGCGTATAGTGCGGGGCCGAACGCAGACACGTGACGTCTCGCAGACGGGTGTGCGGTGGTGCCGGTGGGGAGCCGATGATGCGACGTGTAAATCCCCGTTGAGCAAGTTTGGTCAATTTTGTACCGTGACGCAGGCACTCGATGGCCTCCTCGTGTCGGATGACCGCCGCGGGATCTTTAACGTCCTCCGTGAAGCCGGACACCGCCGCGTCTCGTTGTTGGCACGCCCGCAGTGTTAACCGGGGCGGCCTGTTGACCTCGAACCTCCCCCCACGCCGCACCTCCGATTAGCGCGGTTGGCTACGTACGGTGCGAAATACGTTCTACATACGTACAAAAGTGCGAACGCGCTCCCGCTGGGCCATGCTGACGCACTGGTCTCTGCGTGTGTGTGTGTGTCCGTGTGTCCCCGCGTGTGTGTGTCCGCGTATGTGTCCCCGCGTGTATGTGTCCCCGCGTGTATGTGTCCGCGTGTGTGTGTGTCCGCGTGCGTGTGTGTCCGTGTGTCCCCGCGTGTGTGTGTCCGCGTGTGTGTGTCCGCGTGTGTGTCCCCGCGTGTGTGTCCCCGCGTGTATGTGTGTCCGCGTGTGTGTGTGTCTGCGTGCGTGTGTCCGCGTGTGTGTGTGTCCGCGTGCGTGTGTGTCCGTGTGTCCCCGCGTGTGTGTGTCCGCGTGTGTGTGTCCGCGTGTGTGTCCCCGCGTGTATGTGTCCCCGCGTGTATGTGTCTGCGTGTGTGTATCCGCGTGTGTCCCCGCGTGTGTGTCTGCGTGTGTGTCCGTGTGTGTGTCTGCGTGTTTGTGTGTCCGTGTGTCTCTGTGTGTGTGTATCCGTGTGTGTGTGTGCGTGTGTCCGTGTGTGTGTGTGTCTCTGTGTGTGTGTGTGTCTGCGTGTGTCCGTGTGTGCGTAGATCCGCACGGCCAGGCCGCCGATGAGCTTCCTTCATTCCACCTGCTGGTCGCGAGCGCCATCGAGACGAGCGTCGTGTACAGGTGTGTGTACAGTGTGTACAGGTGTGTACAGGTGTGTGTACGGGTGTGTACAGGTGTGTGTACAGTGTGTACAGGTGTGTGTACAGTGTGTACAGGTGTGTGTACAGTGTGTACAGGTGTGTACAGTGTGTACAGGTGTGTGTACAGGTGTGTGTACAGGTGTGCACAGGTGTGCGTCCGCCACCACCACCCCCCCCCCACCTCCTCGTGTCTCTCTACCGCCCGCCTCGCGTGTACACTCCGTCGTCTAGCTTCTCGTCACATCTCGCTTGTACAGCTCTGCGCCCTCTCTGTTTTTCTTGTTACCGTCTGTACTCATTGGCCCTTTCGGTAAAGTGACGCGTGTAGAAGTAAAATGAAAAATTGAATTGGAACAAATCACGACGTTTCGAACGCAACCCAAGCGCTCGTCCTCAGGTGAAAATGGCGTAAAGCCCCCAGCGGGGGAACACGCAGAGAGACATCGCACGCAGAGGGACATCGCACGCAGAGCACACGGCAAACTGCACGGAGATGTTACCGTCTGGTTCGTTTGATTTGTCTCGTCTCCATCGGTTTGTCTCCCTGTCATTCGTTACGTCTGGCTATCATTGCCGTCTGCCACGTGTGTACTGTCTCAACTGTACTGTCTGCCACGTGTGTACTGTCTTGGCTGTAATGTCTGCCACGTGTGTACTATCTCGGCTGTACTGTCTGCCACGTGTGTACTATCTCGGCTGTACTGTCTGCCACGTGTGTACTGTCTCAACTGTACTGTCCGCCACGTGTGTACTGTCTCGGCTGTACTGTCTGCCACGTGTGTACTGTCTTGGCTGTACTGTCTGCCACGTGTGTACTGTCTTGGCTGTACTGTCTGCCACGTGTGTATTGTCTCAACTGTACTGTCTGCCACGTGTGTACTGTCTTGGCTGTAATGTCTGCCACGTGTGTATTGTCTCAACTGTACTGTCTGCCACGTGTGTACTGTCTTGGCTGTACTGTCTGCCACGTGTGTACTATCTCGGCTGTACTGTCTGCCACGTGTGTACTGTCTTGGCTGTAATGTCTGCCTCGTGTGTATTGTCTCAATTGTACTGTCTGCCACGTGTGTACTGTCTTGGCTGTACTGTCTGCCACGTGTGTACTGTCTTGGCTGTACTGTCTGCCACGTGTGTACTGCCTTGGCTGTACTGTCTGCCACGTGTGTACTGTCCAGCTGTTGCCATCTCTACTCAGTCTCGTCTGTGCTGTTTCATTTGCATCGTCCATCTCATCCATATTTCCCCGTTGGGCTCCGCCGTCAAAAATCTTGTGGCTGGGGCGGTGTGCTGTCGCTGCTGCTGTGGTTGTGCTACTGCTGCTGCTGCTGTGGTGATGTGGTGCTGCTGTGGTATGGTGGTGGTGGTGTGCTGCTGCTGCTGTGGTGATGTGGTGCTGCTGTGGTATGGTGGTGGTGGTGTGCTGCTGCTGCGGTGTGCTGCTGCTGCTACTGCTGCTGCTGCTGTGGTTGTGCTGCTGCTGCTGCGGTGTGCTGCTGCTGCTGCTGTGGTTGTGCTGCTGCTGCGGTGGTGCTGCTGCTGTTGCTGCGGTGTGCTGCTGCTGCTGCTGCTGTGGTTGTGCTGCTGCTGCTGCGGTGGTGCTGCTGCTGTTGCTGCGGTGTGCTGCTGCTGCTGTGGTTGTGCTGCTGCTGCTGCGGTGTGCTGCTGCTGCTGTGGTTGTGCTGCTGCTGCGGTGGTGCTGCTGCTGTTGCTGCGGTGTGCTGCTGCTACTGCTGCTGCTGCTGTGGTTGTGCTGCTGCTGCTGCGGTGTGCTGCTGCTGCTGCTGTGGTTGTGCTGCTGCTGCGGTGTGCTGCTGCTGTCGCTGCGGTGGCGCTGCCAGGGACGTGCTGGTGCGGGGACTGAGCGACCAGGTGGTGCTGCCGGGCAGCGACCGCTACGACAGCGTGCTGTGCGCACTCGTGTGCGACGTGGACTGTGACGGCCACGACGAGATCCTGCTGGGCACCTACGGGCAGGTGGGGGGTGGGGGGGGTGGGGGGTGGGGTGTGTGGGGGGGGGTGGTGGGGTGTGTGGGGGGTGTGTGTGGGGGGGTGCGTGGGTAGGTGTGTGTGGGGGGGTGGGGGGGGTGTGTGTGGGGTGTGTGGTGGGTGTGTGTGTGGGGGGTGTGTTTGGGCGGTGTGTTTGGGGGGTGTGTGTGGGGGTGTGTGTGGGGGGTGTGTGTGGGGGGTGTGTGTGGGGGGTGTGTGTGGGGGGGTGTGTGTGTGGGGGGTGTGTGTGTGGGGGGTGTGTGTGGGGGCGGTGTGTGGGGGGTGTGTGTGGGGGGTGTGTGTGGGGGGTGTGTGTGGGGGGTGTGTGTGGGGGGTGTGTGTGGGGGGTGTGTGTGGGGGGTGTGTGTGGGGGGGGTGTGTGGGGGTGTGTGTGGAGGGGTGCGTGGGTAGGTGTGTGTGGGGGTGTGTGTGTGTGGGGGGTGCGTGGGGGGGGGTGCGTGGGGGGTGTGCGTGGGGAGGGGTGCGTGGGTAGGTGTGTGTGGGGGGGTGTGTGTGGGGGGGGTGCGTGGGTAGGTGTGTGTGTGTGGGGGGGTGTGTGGGGGGGGTCGCGTGGGTGGGCACGTGTGTGGGTAGGTGCGTGTGCGAACGTGCGCGTGTGTGTGTGTGTGTGGGGAGCGGTAGTGTAGCGGTCAGCGCTACGAACCTGGCGACCCGGTTTCGATTCCCGCTCACGGCCAATACCGGTGACGATTATCTGAACCGGTCCTCTCCGTCTCGCCGTCCACAGGAGCTCCTCTGCTTCAAGGAGAGCGGCGGCAAGGCCGGCGTCAGCGGGGCGGGCGGGCGCGAGTGGAGCCTGGCCTGGCGCCGATGGTTCCCGGGGCCTCTGCTGGCGCTGGCCCTGGTGGACGTGACGCGCGACGGACTGCGTGACCTCCTCGCAGTCACCATCAAGGGGCTGCACGTGCTGCAGGTGGTGCCCCCCCCCTTCCCCCCCGGTCTCTCTCTGTTTGACACGGAGGCTTTCGTGAAGCAAGCAGGAGGATGCCTCCACAACTCTCAGGCTATAGTAATAGGTTTTTACCCTTTCGACTGGTACAAAAACTGATACCTTTATACAAGGGGTCATGTTTGCAATAACCACAACACAAGCAGTCAAAATGCAAAAAAAAGAAACAACTCTGATGATGATGATGATGATTTGCACTGTCCTTGAAGTTGATTGGTCCACACCCGAGACAGCTTTTCTTAGAGCCTAGTCTCCATTGGTGTTGGACCAGATGACGCCAAAAGGCGTACAACTCAAAGACAGCGCACTATCAGAGTATTGAGAGCTCGGGGTAAGCATTTACACTGAGACGTCCTTTACCAGTGGCAAAATATAGTCATAGGTTTTTACCCTTTCGACTGGTACAAAAATTGATACCTTTATACAAGGGGTCATGTTTGCAATAACCACAACACAAGCAGTCAAAATGCAAACAAAAAGAAACAACTCTGATAATGATATGCACTGTTCTTGAAGTTGATGCACTGTTTTTGAGTTGTACGCCTTTTGGCGTCATCTGGTCCAACACCATGTGAGACTAGGCTCTAAGAAAAGCTGTCTCGGGTGTGGACCAATCAACTTCAAGGACAGTGCATATCATTATCAGAGTTGTTTCTTTTTGTTTGCATTTTGACTGCTTGTGTTGTGGTTATTGCAAACATGATGCCTTGTATAAAGGTATCAGTTTTTGTACCAGTTGAAAGGGTAAAAACCTATTACTATATTTTGCCACTGGTAAAGAAGGTGTCTCATAGTGAACTCTCTGGCTGTGTCCGCCTGATGCTGCTGCTGCTGCTGCTCGTTGTTGTAATTACCAGCGGCGAAATCGTCACGGCTTCTCGAAGTGTAAATGTTGTCGTGGGTTTACTTTCCAACACACAACCGGCGTGCTGAACTAGTAACGAATTGGCACGTTCTGTTTACGTGACAAACCTTGCCAGTTGGCTGTGTTGGGTGGGTGGCGAGTTTACAGACACATGTAGATATTTACGCGATCGAACCCAAAAGCCTCTACAGTGATCCCTCGTTTATCGCGGTTAATGGGGACCGGAACCCCTCGCGATAGGTGAAAATCCGCGAAGTAGGATTGGCCCCCTAGGAATTTCCGTATATGTGTGTGTGGGTACCAGAATGTTTAAAATATGTATATTTATACTTTATATATATATTTTACTTAAATCTATTTAATTATAAAACCTTAATATTATACATTCACTCTCTCTCTCTCTCATACGATACGTATTATGGTGTTCTACACTCACCAATGACAGTAGTATCTTGAGACTTGACTCCAGTAATGACGACGACGACGATGACAATGACGACGATGACAATGACGACGATTACAGACCTGTGCAGTTCGATGAATGTGATGATGAATGATGATGATGGTGGTGTTACTGCACAGGTATAATGAGGCCTTTAAATCAGCTCGAAAAATCCGCGATGCACTGAGGCCGCGAAACTTGAACCACGAAGTGGCGAGGGATTACTGTATTATGGACCTCCACTCGCTCTCTCGCTCACACGCCCGGCAAGCCAGAGATGACTGCGCCGAGCGCGGATTCGGCGCGAAGTTGTAACTCTGCCTCTCCACTGCTCTGGAGCGCTTGCGGAATTGCTCGTTCGAGCAGTCGGGGTGACTCTTTCATTCTTTCTCTCTCTCTCTCTCGTACGGCCGCCCGCGATGTTAGACGCAGAGCCGCAGCGACGACGACAACGACCGCTGCAGTTTCACTTCCAGGTGGTCAGGGCCTGATGAGCGCGTGGGGAGCGGCGGAGTGGCGTCGCCGTTGGCGTCTCCCGATTCGTGTTTGTGGATCGGGGCGATCGGTGATCCAGGACCAGAGGTCGCAAACGGGTTTTGATTCCTTACCCGTACCCGGCCGCACTAGGGTCGCAAATGGGTAGGGAACGGGTACCCGTTCCCTACCCGTACCCTACCCGAAATGAGTGACAAACGGTTACTCACCAGTGACTCACGGCCTACCCGTACCCGTACCCGGCCGCACCAGGGTCGCAAACGGCTACCTGTACCGGGTATCGGGTATCGGGTACCCGGTTGCGACCTCTGTCCAGGACCTGGCGCTTCGCTCCAGCCGCTCGCTGGCGGTCGTTCTCGGTCAATTCATTAAAATATTTTGTGCTTTCGCCCAAGGGAGGGGCCCAGTTACTGATGGGGGGTGTGGGATGGTGGGGGTGGGGGTGGGAGCGACATGAACCCTGATCCAGCAGTGACTGAGTGCGTGGACGCGAGAGAATATCCCCCCTCTAGTGGATCGGCCAATCTTCATTTTCACGCGCCAATATCGCCGTCAAGAAAGCAGGCGCACCGGTGCACGTTTACAGCAGAACGGGAACGGTGCAGGGTGGGGGGGGGCGGTAGAGCAACGGTACCTGGTTTCGATGCGGCTGAAGATGCTTGCCGCGGATGGATAAATATCGTGATGGGGTCCCGCGCGGCTGGCCCGGTGCGATCCGTGCAGCCGTGACCGGGCCACGTGGCCGTGTGAAGGTGAAGAAGTCGCGAGCCCGGTGTGACCCGTGCATACCTGGTTATACATTCTTATTTTTTAAAAACAGTTTGGTGTAGCTTTCCCGTGACCCCCCCCCCCTCCTCCCCCCCAGTTTGACCTGGAGAAGGCCGCCGACATCCTGCTGAGCCGCCTGCAGGCGTTGGGGTCGGCGGAGGAGGCCGCGACGATCGGAGGTCGCGGGCCGCGCGACGAAGGGCGCTGTGAAGACGCGGCCGCCGAGACGTCGCCGTGAGGAGGAGCCACGCGGTAACGCCGGCGGAGTCGGCTTGACACCTTGCAGGGAGGGGGCTTTCGCGACCAATGTCATCCATGATAGAGGGACCCGCTCTTGCAACTTCCTTCGTCTTTGGGCGCGATTCATTCTGCGGTCAGAACTCTTCTCGAAGACCCAAGCGGGAGGACGACTTCTTCGCAAGTCGCCCCGATGGTGCCCCGGCTGTGGTAATCGCCAGCGAATCGTCACGCTGGAATTGTGAAAGTCGTGCGTTTGAACTCTCCAACGCACAACCGGTGTGCCGCAGTAAGCTCATTGGCAAAGTTTTGTCTCCGTGATGGGCCTCGGGTAATGGGCTTTGTCGGGTGGGGTGGTGGGTTTAACGGCACATTCATATTTACGCGATCTCACCCGAAAAAAACCTTGAACGGTAAAAGTCTTCTCTGCGAGATGCTAAACTCCACCCCACACCCGTGAATGACGGGACTCCGAGCGTAACGCGCACAGAGCCCTCGTGTGTCTCTCCACTGCTGAATGAGGTCCTCCGCATGCCTAAAGCAACCCTGTTGCACATGCTGGGAGCACCATCATCATCCTCTATCCAGACCCCACTTCGCTTCCGGGATCTTGACGGCGACGAATTCGGGGGCGATTTTAGGCTTAGGGGGCCCCCCTAATATCCGTGCACGAACACCGATAAATTTGATACTTTTGGTGCATCTTGGGGAGACCGCCTCGCCAAGGTGTCTCGTGGCCTAGAAATAAATGTGCACAATCGGTGGATGAATTCACTTCCCGCTCCGTGGTCATTCCTGTTGTCCGTGTGAAAGTTTACAAAAGGAGTTGTAGGTCTGCGGATGATGAAAGGAATTTTCGTAGCCGGATGAGGCCGCCGGATAACCGGAGGGGGGGGGTAGATCTGGCAGTCTCGCGCGGCTGCAGCGTACAGAGGACACGGAGAGAAACGTTCACGGTCCGTCACGGCCAGCGCGGCCGCCACCTTTTATTCACCACAATCACAGTCCACTCCACCACCACCCACCTCCGCCCCCCACCCCACTCGCCACATCACGTGGCTCAGCACCACACGCCGCTAACCACACAGCCACTCAAGTGGCTGACCACAAATCACACCCCCCTCACTAACCACACCACCAACCGCCGCCACTCTACAATAGCCGGCGCCAAAAACCGTGCCACGCGCCCTCCCGTGCGGCCTTGCTTGGAGCCTCGGTGCCGATGGTTTATTTTATACTTTACGGAACGTAACTGGAAGAAAAACTGATGGTCCCCAGCAGCTTTTCTTTGGAACTCGTCGCTCATTTGTTGCTGCCGCTTCCGCCATCTGGCGACACGTCCAGAAAACCGATTGTCGAGCTTTCCACTCCCGCACCCACCACGCCACGGATTGTCACGATTCGCTTGCACACCGGTTCTGGGCCTCCCCTAGGTCGACTCGGCCTCAAATGATTTTCAATTCAGGAATCGATAATAATTTTTTCTCTCCCTCTTCTCGTTTGTGTACGACGGCCTGTAACACACGATTATCATTTGATTTGATTTGACTCGAAGCCACGGCCAGCATCGGAGGACGAGTGATATCCGAACTAGTCCCGCCGGGCCCCGCCCTCACCAGCAAGGTGAAGTATGGTCAAACCATCCCGCCCCCGTGACCGACACGACGCAGGGAGGACTTCACCCAGCAGTGGATTGACAACTGGAGCTGTAAATTAATAATTCGAAGTACGTTTCCGCACGTACCGGAATCGATTGAGCCGGTGTGAATCATTCCACGCTTAACATACCCACACACACACACACCCCCCCCACGCGCACCCCAAAACACATCGTCCCTCAACCCAACACCCCCAGCACGGAGCAGGCACCACGGCCGAGCGCGGCCATGACCCTGGCGGCCATGTTGCTGCCCCCCTTTTCGTCCTCCGCTGGCCGACGAGGCCCGCCGATCAGGCGTACATGGTCAGCTGCAGCCACTGTGGGGCGGGGCGGGGTGGGGAGGGCGACACGACGGGCGACTTAAAGGGGTGAACACGTCCACTCCCCCGACGACCGCAGCACAACAACACCGCTCGCTCGCTGTGTGCGTGTGCGTGTGTGTGTGCGTGCATGTGTATGTGTGTGTGCGTGCGAGTGTGTGTGTGAGTGCGTGCATGTGTGCGTGCGTGTGTGTGTGCGTGTGTGCGTGCGTGTGTATGTGTGTGTGCGAGTGTGCGTGCGTGTGTATGCGAGTGTGCGTGTGTGCGAGCGAGCGTGTGTGCGAGCGAGCGTGTGTGCGTGCGTGCGTGGGTTTGTCCGGCGCTCGCCTCTCGTCTCACCTCGAGCACGTTCAGCTTGATGGTGCCGTCCCCGTCCCGGTTGTAGGCTTGGAAGGCGCCTGCGGCACAAACACGTGGCGGCGGTGGGGGAGGTGGGGGGGGGAGGTGAGAGCCAGGGTCCGCGAGTTTGTCTGATGCACCCGGACCGGGTGAAGCGCCGTGGTGACGTCACAGCATGCATGCTATGGGGCAGTGTTGAGTCTATGGGTAGTGCTGAGTCTATGGGTAGTGTTGAGTCTGTGGGCAGTGTTGAGTCTGTGGGCAGTGTTGAGTCTATGGGCAGTGTTGAGTCTATGGGCAGTGTTGAGTCTATGGGCAGTGTTGAGTCTATGGGCAGTGTTGAGTCTACGGGCAGTGTTGAGTCTATGGGCAGTGTTAAGTCTATGGGCAGTGTTAAGTCTGGGTAGTGTTGAGTCTATGGGAAGTGTTAGTCTATGGGAAGTACAGTATGTATAATCTGTATGTTGAACTTCTTTCGCACCGTATGTAGCCAACCGAACGCAAGGTCTTCGTGCGCACACACACACACACACACGTACGTGCCGGCCTTCACGTGCCGGCCTTCACGTGCCGGCCTTCACGTGCCGGTCTTCACGTGCCGGCCTTCACGTGCCGGTCTTCACGTGCGCCCGTTATCGTCCCTCGCCCCAACAACAGTGTGTCGAGGCTTATGACGTGGGGGGAGAGGGGGTCCGGCTCCTTCCGTGTCTGTGCGCGTACGTACGGAACATGCCCTCCAGGCGCACGAGGCAGCAGATGAAGTTGTCGAAGTCGACGGTGCCATCGTCGTCCGCGTAGCGGAGCGTGACGACGCGCAGCAGCTGCTCGTTCAGCTTGAAGCCTGGGGAACAGTCACACATAGTCACACAGTCACACACAGTCACACACAGTCACACACAGTCACACACAGTCACACACAGTCACACATACACAGTCACACATACACAGTCACACATACACAGTCACACATACACAGTCACACACACAGTCACACACACACACAGTCACACACACACACAGTCACACACACACACAGTCACACACACACACACAGTCACACACACACACAGTCACACACACACACAGTCACACACACAGTCACACACACAGTCACACACACACACAGTCACACATACACACAGTCACACACACACAGTCACACACACACAGTCACACACACACACAGTCACACACACACACAGTCACACACACACAGTCACACACACACACAGTCACACACACACAGTCACAGACAGTCACACACACACACAGTCACACACAGTCACACACACACACAGTCACACACAGTCACACATACACAAAGTCACACACAGTCACACACACACAGTCACACACAGTCACACACAGTCACAGTCACACACAGTCACACACACACACAGTCACACACACAGTCACACACACAGTCACACACACACAGTCACACACACACAGTCACACACACACAGTCACACACACACAGTCACACACACACAGTCACACAGTCACACATAGTCACACAGTCACACAGTCACACACAGAGTCACACACAGTCACACACACACACAGTCACACACACACACAGTCACACACACACACAGTCACACACACACACAGTCACACACAGTCACACACAGTCACACACACAGTCACACACACACACACAGTCACACACAGTCACACACAGTCACACAGTCACACACAGTCATACACACACACACAGTCACAGCGTGACGACGCGCAGCAGCTGCTCGTTCAGCTTGAAGCCTGAGGAACACGACGGCCGCGTCGGACATCACGGTTGGCTGTGTGTGTGGCTGTGTGTGTGTGTCTGTGTGTGTGTCTGTGTGTGCGTGTCTGTGCATGTGTGTGCGTGTCTGTGCATGTGTGTGTCTGTGTGTGTCTGTGTGTGCGTGTCTGTGCATGTGTGTGCGTGTCTGTGCATGTGTGTGCGTGTCTGTGCATGTGTGTGTGTGTGTGTCTGTGTGTGCGTGTCTGTGCATGTGTGTGTCTGTGTGTGTGTGTGTCTGTGCATGTGTGTGTCTGTGTGTGTGTCTGTGTGTGCGTGTCTGTGTGTGCGTGTCTGTGCGTGTGTGTGCGTGTCTGTGCATGTGTGTGTGTGTCTGTGTGTGTGTGTCTGTGTGTGCGTGTCTGTGCATGTGTGTGTCTGTGCGTGTGTGTGTCTGTGTATGTGTGTGTCTGTGTGTGTGTCTGTGTGTGCGTGTCTGTGTGTGTGTCTGTGTGTGCGTGTCTGTGCATGTGTGTGCGTGCATGTGTGTGTCTGTGTGTGCGTGCGTGCATGTGTGTGTCTGTCTGTGTGCATGCGTGTGTGTGTGTGCGTGTCTTGTGTGTGCGTGCGTGTGCGTGCATGTGTGTGTCTGTGTGTGCATGCGTGTGTGTGCGTGCGTGTCTTGTGTGTGCGTGCGTGTGCGTGCATGTGTGTGTCTGTGTGTGTGTGCGTGCGTGTGTTCGTGTGTGTGCGTGTGTTCGTGTGTGTGCGTGTGTGTGTGTGTGGTTACCTGTGTAGGTGTGTGTGGTTACCTGTGTGTGTGTGTGGTTACCTCTGTAGCTGCTGCTGTGTGTGTGGTTACCTGTGTAGGTGTGTGTGGTTACCTGTGTGCGTGGTTACCTGTGTGTGGTTACCTTGTAGGTGTGTGTGGTAACCTGTGTAGGTGTGTGGTAACCTGTGTAGGTGTGTGTGTTACCTGTGTAGCTGTGTGTGTGGTTACCTGTGTAGCTGCTGCTGTGTATGTGGTTACCTGTGTAGGTGTGTGTGGTTACCTGTGTGTGTGTGGTAACCTGTGTAGGTGTGTGTGGTTACCTGCACTTTCCAGTGCTGGTCCCAGCTCAGAGGAGGACATTGAGCCACTGCGATCTGCGTCGTACTGCTTGTAGATGTTCTGCAAAGACAAAGATTCACCGTACAGACTGTAGGGGCAAGTGCTGTTAGCGAGTAGCAACTATGAAGGCCGGAACGGCACACGCCCGGCCGCCTTTGTCTCCCCAGTGGCGATGTTTACACAGCGCTTCAGGTACTCATTTGAGGCTGAGTCGACCTAGGGGAGGCCCAGGATCAGTTAAGATAATCGTCACTGGTGTGGGCAGTGAGTAGTGCAGTGCAATAACCACTGTACCACCGCTCCCGAAGGGGTATGTACACACACACGCACATTCACACACACAGTCACACACACACACATTCACACACACAGTCACACACACACATTCACACACACACACACGTTCACACACACATTCACATACACACATTCACACATTCACGCACACACAGTCACACATTCACACGCACATTCACACACACGCACACAGTCACACACACACAGTCACACACACACTCACACACATTCACACACACATAGTCACACACACTCACACACATTCACACACACAGTCACACAGACACACACATTCACACACACACTCACACACATTCACACACACACACAGTCTCACACACACAGTCTCACACACACAGTCTCACACACACACAGTCACACACACAGTCACACACACACACAGTCACACATTCTCTCGCTCTTCCCCGAGGCGGTGCCGCGCCTTGCCGGGCGTGAGTGGCCGGCTGAGCCGGTTGAGATTCCGAGCTCTTTCCCCACCCAACCCACCGGAGACTCATCGGCAGGGGCACCACGCTGGCTAAGAGATGTTAACTACCTCGCCTGGTGTACAGGAGGTCGTGGGTTCAATCCCGACCCTGACGCCTGCTGCTGTATATTTGGAGTTTGCGTGTCTCTCTCATCATCATCAACACGGTGGCTATGAGATGTTAACTACCTCGCCTGGTGTGCAAGGAGGTCGTGGGTTCGATCCAGAGCCTGACAATGCCTGCTGCTGTATATTTGGAGTTTGCGTGTCTCTCTCATCATCATCAACACGGTGGCTAGGAGATGTTAACTGCCTCGCCTGGTGTGCAGGAGGTCGTGGGTTCGATCCAGAGCCTGACAATGCCTGCTGCTGTATATTTGAGTTTGCGTGTCTCTCTCATCATCATCAACACGGTGGCTATGAGATGTTAACTACCTCGCCTGGTGTGCAGGAGGTCGTGGGTTCGATCCAGAGCCTGACAATGCCTGCTGCTGTATATTTGGAGTTTGTGTGTCTCTCTTATCATCATCAAGGTGGCTATGAGATGTTAACTCCGTGCGTCCGCTCAAAAAGCCGGACACACGCTGCACCGGATACCCGTTTAAGGCTGAGTCGACCTAGAGGAGGCCCAGGACCGGGTTGTAATATTTCCCTGACATCGGCCTTGTGTGGCAAGAACTCGGGCGGCCGGGTTCGTAGCGCAGCGCACTAACCGCTGCTCTACCGCTCCCCACACACACACACATCTCGCTCACTCTCACACACACGCTCACTCTCACACACACACGCTCACACACACGCACACACACATTCACACACTCACACATTCACACACACTCACACACACACGCTCACTCTCACACACACGCTCACTCTCACACACACACGCTCACACACACGCACACACACATTCACACACTCACACACACACGCTCACTCTCACACACACACGCTCACACACACGCACACACACATTCACACACTCACACATTCACACACACTCACACACACACGCTCACTCTCACACACACGCTCACTCTCACACACACACACATCACGCTCACTCTTACACACACACGCTCACACACACGCACACTCATTCACACACACATCACGCTCACACACACGCTCACACACACGCTCACATACACACAGCACACACACACTCGCACACATCACGCTTACTCTCACACACAGCACACACGCACACACTCTCACACACACACAGCACACACTCTCACACACACACGCACACACGCGCACACACGCGCACACACGCACACACACACACACTCGCACACAGCACGCACTCGCACACACTCACACGCACTCACACACACTCTCACACACACACACACATCACTCTCACACGCACACACTCACACACCACACACACTCTCACACACACACTCACACACTCTCACACACACACTCACACACTCACTCTCACACGCACTCATATACTCTCACACACACATCACGCTCACTCTCACACGCACACACTCACACACCACACACACTCTCACACACACACTCACACACTCACTCTCACACGCACTCATATACTCTCACACACACATCACACTCACTCTCACGCACACCACGCTCACTCTCACACACACTCACACACACTCACACTCACTCACACACACATCACGCTCACTCTCACACACACTCACACACACACGCACACATCACGCTCACTCTCACACACACTCACTCACACACACACACATCACGCTCACTCTCACACACACACACGCACACACCACGCTCACTCTCACACATACGCACACACTCTCACACCACGCTCACTCTCACACACACTCACACACTCACTCTCACACGTACGGCCTCACCTGCCAGGACTTGACCTTGTTCCACAGGATCTTGAACTCCTCGTATCCCAGCTTCCCCGTGCCGTCCGACTGCGCTCGAAGGTCAAGGGTCATCGGCTTCACGACCGCCGTGTCGGGGACACGCAGAGGGAGACGCCCCTGCCGAGGGCCACGGATCGTGTGTACGTGTGTACGTGTGTACACGTGTGTACACGTGTGTACGTGTGTACATGTGTGTACACGTGTGTACACGTGTGTACACGTGTGTTCACGTGTGTACGTGTGTTCACATGTGTACGTGTGTTCACGTGTACGTGTGTTCATGTGTTCGTGTATACGTGTTGGTGTGTACACATGTGTACGTGTGTTCACGTGTACGTGTGTTCATGTGTTCGTGTATACGTGTTGGTGTGTACGTGTGTACGTGTATTGGTGTGGTCATGTGTTCGTGTGTTCGTGTGTACGTGTATTGGTGTGGTCGTGTGTTCGTGTGTACGTATGTACGTATGTTGGTGTGTTGGTGTGTTCGTGTGTATGTTTGTTGGTGTGTTCGTGTGTGTTCGTGGGTACGTGTGTACGTGTGTTGGTGTGTTCGTGTGTACGTGTGTATGTTTGTTGGTGTGTTCGTGTGTGTGTGTTCGTGGGTACGTGTGTGTACGTGTGTACGTGTTGGTGTGTTCGTGTGTACGTGTGTATGTTTGTTGGTGTGTTCGTGTGTGTGTGTGTGTGTTCGTGGGTACGTGTGTACGTGTGTCACATGCCGTGTTGCTGCGTTGTCATGTCCTGTATTGTCACGTGTTGTTGTGTCGTGTTGTTGTTTCGCGTCACGTGTTGTGTTGTATTGTGATGTCGTGTTGTATCATGTTGTGTTGTGTCATCGTGTCGTGTTGTGTTGTCGTGTTGTTGTGCCGTGTTGTTGTGTTGTTGTCATTGTGTTGTTGTGTCGTGTTGTTGTGTTGTGTTGTTGTGTTGTTGTCGTGTTGTTGTGTCGTGTTGTTGTGTCGTGTTGTTGTGTCGTGTTGTTGTGTTGTTGTGTCGTGTTGTTGTGTCGTGTTGTTGTGTCGTGTTGTTGTGTTGTTGTTGTGTTGTTGTTGTGTTGTCGTGTTGTCGTGTTGTTGTTGTGTTGTCGTGTTGTCGTGTTGTTGTGTTGTGTCCCCGCTGCGCCAGGATACGTCCATGAGCGCCACCATGCTGCGGCACGACTCCACGCTGAACCCGTCCGTCTTGAGGTCGCGGTCTGAACATGAACACACAAAGACAAAGGTCCCCCGCATATCCTTCACCACACAGGGCAAGTGCTGTTAGCGAGCACCTATGAAGGCCGACACGGCACAGCAGGGAGCGAGTGGCCAGCACCACGCCCGGCCGCCTTTGTCTCCCCAGTGACGCCGTTTACACGCCGTAACCAGGTGCTCGTTTGAGGCCGAGTCCACCTAGGGGAGGCCCAGGACCGGTTCAGATAATCGTCACTGCCGTTGTTGGCCGCGAGCGGGAATTGAACTCGGGTCGCCGGGTTCGTAGCGCAGCGTAGCGCTGACCGCTGCACCACCGCTCCCCCCCCCCACTACCGAACACACACAGCTACACACATTTACCGTTGCCACGTGTACGTCTACACACAAGGGGGTCTGTGTGTGCGGTCACTCACGTTTGGTGACCACCTTGTTCAGGACTCCCTGCAGCTCCACAGGGCTGATCTCCATGTCCTAGGGAACCACGATCGTCCCGCCATCAGGAAACAAGATCCCGATAACCGCAACCATCGCACTCCCGCCATCAGCAATAACATCCCGATAACCGGAACCATCGCACTCCCGCCATCAGCAATAACATCCCGATAACCGGAACCACGTCATTCCCACCAATATCAACAACATCCCGATAACTGGAACCATCGCACTCCCGCCATCAGCAATAACATCCCGATAACCGGAACCACGTCATTCCCACCAATATCAACAACGTCCCGATAACCGGAACCACGGCATTCCCATTACAACTGTGTGTGTCTACTGCGTGTGCACTGCGTACTGTGTGTACTCTGTGTAGCGTGTGTAGTAGGGTGCGTGTACTGCGTATGAACTATGGGTACTGTGTGTGTACTGTGTGCGTTCACTGTGTGTACACCGTGTGTGTACACCGTGTGTGTACACCGTGTGTGTATACCGTGTGTGTACTGTGTTTACTGTGTGTGTACTGTGTGTGTACTGTGTGTGTACTGTGTGCGTTCACTGTGTGTACACCGTGTATACTGTGTGTGTACTGTGTGTACTGTGTGTGTACTGCACCTCCCCGGCGAGCTGGTTGAACACGCGGCGGAACTGGGTGTCCTCATCGCTCTGCAGGTGCGCCTGCACCTTGGGAGGCTGCGAGGCAAAACACAAAAACACAATTACACAAAGACACAAACACACACATACACACAAAACACAGACACACAAAGACACAAACACACAAATACACAAATATACAAAGACACAAATACACGAAGACAAAAAGACACAGACACACAAAGACACAAAGACACAACCACACAAATACACAAAGACACAAAGACACGCGTCACGGGAGCTGGGGGCCACCAGCGGGAATCGAACTCGGGTCGCCGGTTTAATAGCGCAGCGTGCCGCTAACCGCTACACTACCGCTCCTCAAAGACGCACAGACACACACACAGACACATAGACACACACACACACAGACACAAGAGTATACTCCAGTTGTGGTCTCTCTGCATGTCGCATCAACAAGACGAAGACATTTCCATCCGGAAGCAGCCCGTGGAAGGTGCCCCTTGCCAACGCGAGGTGGTGGTGGTGGTGGAGGTGGTGGAGGTGGTGGAGGTGGTGGTGGTGGAGGTGGTGGAGGTGGTGGAGGTGGTGGAGGTGGTGGTGGAGGTGGTGGTGGTGGTGGTGGTGGAGGTGGTGGTGGAGGTGGTGGAGGTGGTGGAGGTGGTGAAGGTGGTGGTGGAGGTGGTGGAGGTTGGTGGAGGTGGTGGAGGAGGTGGTGGTGGAGGTGGTGGAGGTGGTGGTGGAGGTGGTGGAGGTGGTGGTGGTGGTGGAGGTGGTGGAGGTGGTGGAGGTGGTGGTGGAGGTGGTGGAGGTGGTGGAGGTGGTGGTGGTGGAGGTGGTGGAGGTGGTGGAGGTGGTGGTGGAGGTGGTGGTGGAGGTGGTGGAGGTGGAGGTGGTGGAGGTGGTGGTGGAGGTGGTGGAGGTGGTGGTGGAGGTGGTGGTGGAGGTGGTGGAGGTGGTGGTGGTGGAGGTGTTCGTGTGGCCTTCGCACACCTGTGGAGGTGTTCGTCCCGTGACAGTCGTGCGTATTCTTTTGTACATTTCTAGCAGCTGGAACTTGAGCAAGCCAAGTAACGGGTCAGATTCGACGCATGCTTCGTGCGCAGCCATGAACGTGCGTACGTTCAACTTCTCCCGCCACCGTACACAGCCGACCGTGCTAATCGCAGGCAACGACGGAGGTGGGAGTGGGGGGGAGACTCTTCGATCGCTGGAAAAACCCATCTCATTCTGGGGAGAGCGCACGGTGAGAGCGGAGGGGAGAGCGAAGAGGAAGCCGGGAGACGCGGAGGGAGGGGTCACCCACCCACGAGTCTTGAGCGGTGGCGTCTGCCATCATCTGCTCACCAGCGATGGCAGCAGAGCAGAGGGGAAAGGGGAGACGGGAGGAGAGGGCAGACAGCAGGAGAGGGGAGACGCGGGGAGAGGCGGGGAGACGCGGGGAGACGCGGGGAGACGCGGGGAGACACGGGGAAACGCGGGGAGACGCGGGGAGACACCGGGAGACACCGGGAGACACCGGGAGACACGGGGAGACGCGGGGAAACGCGGGGAGACGCGGGGAGACGCGGGGAGACGCGGGGAGACACGGGGAGACACGAGGAGACTCGGGGAGATACCAGGAGACACGGGGAGACACAGGGAGAGGGGAGACGCGGGGAGACACGGGGAGACGCGGGGAGATGCGGGGAGGTGCCGAGAGGAGACACAGGGAGAGGATGACATGGGGAGACAGGAAGACAGGGAAAGAGAGGAGACATTGGCAGGACGAGGGCAGACGTAGGAGCAGTAATGGGGGATATGTTGGTGAAAGGAAGACAAAGAGAGAGACAGAGACACAGAAAACAGCACTCCCGTAAGACACCAAGCAGCAACATTCGTCAAAGATCAGAGCAGGCCGAGACCCAGGGCATGCAGACACCCGCAGAACAGATCTCCCTGGGAAGAATGAGACCCATCATCATCATCATCGCCATCACCGCCACCAGGGAGCGTTGCCGCACAACCCGTCCCTACGGCAGCCGATAACAACCGGTTGTGCAATGCGGTCGCCGTTCCAAGCGTTGCACCAGGCTCAAACCTGCTTAGCTTCTGAGATTGTACGAGGAGACTTGGGGCACAGGCTTGCGACAGACGTGAGTGGGGGAAAAAAAACCTAAAATACCGATTCTTCCACACGCGGTTTTTACGCGGGTTACCGTGGGATCGATAATCTACCCATCTGTGCGGAACCTTGCATCTGCTCCGCAAGAAACGCCGACGATCAATTTGTTTCGTAATCGATTTCTGGGGTCGGATCGCCGCGTTGAGTAAAATGCCGGTTCGTGCACCCTACGCCACCCGACACAGCCAATTAACCATCTCCCGTGCCGATGACGTACATTGTGCACGTCATGGGAACGGGATCGGAGGGAAATGTTCAAATAAAATAACTTTTATCGGTACCGAGGCTCCCACAAGGCCGTGCGGGACGGCGTGTGGCACGGCCTGGCGCCGGCTACCGTCGGGCGTGGCTGAGTCGTTACGGTTCACTGCGGTGAGCAACAACGTCTAGGGGAACAGCGGCGATGCCGCGTCTCTCTAAATAACATCTAAGGCCCAGCCGCTCGCGCGCTCCGAGCTTCAGAGGTGAAGGGGACGACCCCCACCCCACCCCAACAACTTGCAGGGAGCCTCGGAATGGGGAAGGGGGTTACCAGAGTTGCCACGCGATGAACAAACGCGACCGGCGGTCGGTGACGGGCAGCGGTTGCTGGACGTTTCGCTGGCGGTTGCAGCAAGCGTCATGGCACGGTTTGCCAGACACCTGGAATGAAGCTATGAATGTGTGCGCGTGAGAGTGAGCGTGTGTGTCCGAGTACGTGTTCACGCGTGCCGCGGCGAGTGTGCGGGGGTTTGTGGGTGAGTGATTGAGGGTGTGTGTGTGAGTGATTGAGGGTGTGTGCGTGAGCGATTGAGGGTGTGTGTGTGAGCGATTGAGGGTGTGTGTGTGAGCGATTGAGGGTGTGTGTGTGAGCGATTGAGGGTGTGTGTGTGAGCGATTGAGGGTGTGTGTGTGAGCGATTGAGGGTGTGTGCGTGAGCGATTGAGGGTGTGTGCGTGAGTGATTGAGGGTGTGTGCGTGAGTGATTGAGGGTGTGTGTGTGAGCGATTGAGGGTGTGTGCGTGAGCGATTGAGGGTGTGTGCGTGAGCGATTGAGGGTGTGTGTGTGAGTGATTGAGGGTGTGTGCGTGAGCGATTGAGGGTGTGTGCGTGAGTGATTGAGGGTGTGTGCGTGAGTGATTGAGGGTGTGTGCGTGAGCGATTGAGGGTGTGTGCGTGAGCGATTGAGGGTGTGTGCGTGAGTGATTGAGGGTGTGTGCGTGAGTGATTGAGGGTGTGTGTGTGAGCGATTGAGGGTGTGTGCGTGAGCGATTGAGGCTGTGTGCGTGAGTGATTGAGGGTGTGTGCGTGAGTGATTGAGGGTGTGTGTGTGAGCGATTGCGGGTGTGTGTGCGTGAGTGATTGAGGGTGTGTGTGTGAGTGATTGAGGGTGTGTGTGTGAGTGATTGAGGGTTGTGTGTGTGAGCGATTGAGGGTGTGTGTGTGAGTGATTGAGGGTGTGTGTGTGAGTGATTGAGGGTGTGTGTGTGAGTGATTGAGGGTGTGTGTGTGAGTGATTGAGGGTGTGTGCGTGAGTGATTGAGGGTGTGTGCGTGAGCGATTGCGGGTGTGTGTGCGTGAGTGATTGAGGGTGTGTGTGTGAGCGATTGAGGGTGTGTGTGTGAGCGATTGAGGGTGTGTGCGTGAGTGATTGAGGGTGTGTGCGTGAGCGATTGAGGGTGTGTGTGTGAGCGATTGCGGGTGTGTGTGCGTGAGTGATTGAGGGTGTGTGCGTGAGCGATTGAGGGTGTGTGTGTGAGTGATTGAGGGTGTGTGCGTGAGCGATTGAGGCTGTGTGCGTGAGCGATTGAGGGTGTGTGTGTGAGTGATTGAGGGTTGTGTGTGTGAGCGATTGAGGGTGTGTGTGTGAGTGATTGAGGGTGTGTGCGTGAGCGATTGAGGGTGTGTGCGTGAGCGATTGAGGCTGTGTGCGTGAGCGATTGAGGGTGTGTGTGTGAGCGATTGAGGGTGTGTGTGTGAGCGATTGAGGGTGTGTGCGTGAGCGATTGAGGGTGTGTGTGTGAGTGATTGAGGGTGTGTGTGTGAGTGATTGAGGGTGTGTGTGTGAGTGATTGAGGGTGTGTGTGTTGAGCGATTGAGGGTGTGTGTGTGAGTGATTGAGGGTGTGTGTGTGAGCGATTGAGGGTGTGTGCGTGAGCGATTGAGGGTGTGTGTGTGAGTGATTGAGGGTGTGTGTGTGAGCGATTGAGGGTGTGTGTGTGAGTGATTGAGGGTGTGTGTGTGAGCGATTGAGGGTGTGTGTGTGAGTGATTGAGGGTGTGTGTGTGAGCGATTGAGGGTGTGTGTGTGAGCGATTGAGGGTGTGTGTGTGAGCGATTGAGGGTGTGTGTGTGAGTGATTGAGGGTGTGTGTGTGAGCGATTGAGGGTGTGTGCGTGAGCGATTGAGGGTGTGTGTGTGAGTGATTGAGGGTGTGTGTGTGAGCGATTGAGGGTGTGTGTGTGAGTGATTGAGGGTGTGTGTGTGAGTGATTGAGGGTGTGTGTGTGAGTGATTGAGGGTGTGTGTGTGAGTGATTGAGGGTGTGTGTGTGAGTGATTGAGGGTGTGTGCGTGAGTGATTGAGGGTGTGTGCGTGAGCGATTGAGGGTGTGTGCGTGGTGAAGTATGGTAAAAAAAACCCCCATGATCCGGGGCGTGGTTGCAGGCCCCCGTCCGCGTGCGCCGTGCCGGCCTGCACAGGTACCGCTCGCTAACAGCACTTGCCCCCGCAGGCTATGGTGGGCCACACGGGGAGGGGGGTCCTTTGTCTTTGTGCACGTGAATCAGCGTGGTGGATGTGTTGATTGGGTGTGCACACGTGGAACTTGACCCAACAATCTGCAAGGCTGTACAAGGCACCTTTGTCTTTGGTGCGCTGTTAACGAGCACCAATTAAGAGGCCGGCACGGCACACGAGGGGGTGGGTGGTCATCAGCACGTCCGGCCGCCTTTGTCTCCCTACAGAGGCGATGTTTATACATCGCACCAGGTACTCTTTTGAGGCTGAGTCGACCTAGGGGAGGCCCCACTGTTATTGGTAATGAGCTGGAAGCGTAGCACAATGCGCTAACCACTGCACCACCCCTCCCCTAATATACACACACACATGCATACACGTGTACACATGATGACATGTGTACACTCGGGACGTGTGTGTGTGTTCAATGCATGTCATCATGTGTACACGTGTACACGTGTGTGTGTTCAATGCACGTGTACACGTGTACACATGATGACATGCATTGAACACACACAGGTCTACACGTGTACACAGCAGAGAGCACAGTGAATATAATCTGCGGTGTAACTCTGGAACACAACACCCACGCACAGACAGACAAAGGTGCCCTGTACAGCCTTGCAGATTGTTGGGTCAAGTTCCACGCCGTGCACACCCAATCAGCACATCCACCACCACGCTGCTTCACGCGCACAGAGACGAAGAACCCCTACGAAGGCCGGCACGGCGCCGGTGCCGCCTTTATCTCCCCGGTGGGGCGATGTTCACGACTCATTTGAGGCCGAGCCGACCTAGGGGAGACCCAGGAACGGTTCGGCACACACACACACACCCAAGACCCTTCTCACGCTCCGCAACGCCCTTTGAATCACCCCCCGCCCCGCACGTCATCGGAAACCAAATTCCACGATTCTGGGACTCGAACCAAAGTGGAAGCCACGGGGCAGGAAACCAGTGGAGCCAGGTGGTCACGTGACACCAGCTGGTCCAGCAGCCACCGCCCTGACATCCACCAGCTGCTGCTGCCCCCCCTGCCCCCCCCATGCCCCTCCCCTCTGCACCTCTCCCCCCCTCCCCCCTCTGCCTCTACCCATAGACTCAGCACTGCCCATAGACTCAACACTGCCCATAGACTCAACACTACCCATAGACTCAACACTGCCCATAGACTCAACACTACCCATACATTCAACACTACCCATAGACTCAACACTGCCCATAGACTCAACACTGCCCAGACTCAACACTGCCCATAGACTCAACACTACCCATAGACTCAACACTGCCCATAGACTCAACACTGCCCATAGACTCAACACTGCCCATAGACTCAACACTACCCATACTCAACACTACCCATAGACTCAACACTGCCCATAGACTCAACACTGCCCATAGACTCAACACTGCCCATAGACTCAACACTACCCATAGACTCAACACTACCCATAGACTCAACACTGCCCATAGACTCAGCACTGCCCATAGACTCAGCACTGCCCATAGACTCAGCACTGCCCATAGACTCAACACTACCCATAGACTCAACACTGCCCAAAGACTCAACACTACCCATAGACTCAACACTACCCATAGACTCAACACTGCCCATAGACTCAACACTACCCATAGACTCAACACTGCCCATAGACTCAACACTACCCATAGACTCAACACTGCCCATAGACTCAACACTGCCCATAGACTCAACACTGCCCATAGACTCAACACTGCCCATAGACTCAACACTGCCCATAGACTCAACACTGCCCATAGACTCAAACACTGCCCATAGACTCAACACTGCCCATAGACTCAACACTGCCCATAGACTCAACACTACCCATAGACTCAACACTACCCATAGACTCAACACTGCCCATAGACTCAACACTGCCCATAGACTCAACACTGCCCATAGACTCAACACTGCCCATAGACTCAACACTGCCCATAGACTCAACACTGCCCAAAGACTCAACACTACCCATAGACTCAACACTACCCATAGACTCAACACTGCCCATAGACTCAACACTACCCATAGACTCAACACTGCCCATAGACTCAACACTGCCCATAGACTCAACACTGCCCATAGACTCAACACTGCCCATAGACTCAACACTGCCCATAGACTCAACACTGCCCATAGACTCCACACTGCCCATAGACTCAACACTGCCCATAGACTCAACACTGCCCATAGACTCAACACTGCCCATAGACTCAACACTGCCTATAGACTCAACACTACCCATAGACTCAACACTGCCCATAGACTCAACACTGCCCATAGACTCAACACTGCCCATAGACTCAACACTGCCCATAGACTCAACACTGCCCATAGACTCAACACTGCCCATAGACTCAACACTACCCATAGACTCAACACTATCCATAGACTCAACCCCCCCGCCCCCCCCCCAACAAGTCATGGTGAGAGTGAGTGGTGAGAGTGAGTGGTGAGTGAGTGGTGAGAGTGAGCGGTGAGTCTGTGGTGAGTGAGTGGTGAGAGTGAGTAGTGAGAGTGAGTGGTGAGTGAGTGGTGAGAGTGAGTGGTGAGTCTGTGGTGAGGGTGAGTGGAGAGTGAGCGGTGAGTCTGTGGTGGGTCTGTGGTGAGAGTGAGTGGTGAGTCTGTGGTGAGGGTGAGTGGTGAGTGAGTGGTGAGAGTGAGTGGTGAGAGTAAGTGGTGAGTCTGTGGTGAGTGTGAGTGGTGAGTGAGTGGTGAGTCTGTGGTGAGTCTGTGGTGAGAGTGAGTGGTGAGGGTGAGTGGTGAGTATGTGGTGAGTCTGTGGTGAGGGTGAGTGGAGAGTGAGTGGTGAGTGAGTGGTGAGTCTGTGGTGAGTCTGTGGTGAGAGTGAGTAGTGAGTCTGTGGTGAGAGTGAGTGGTGAATGAGTGGTGAGAGTGAGTGGTGAGTCTGTGGTGAGTGTGAGTGGTGAGTGAGTGGTGAGTGAGTGGTGAGTCTGTGGTGAGAGTGAGTGGTGAGTAAGTGGTGAGGGTGAGTGGTGAGTCTGTGGTGAGGGTGAGTGGAGAGTGAGCGGTGAGTCTGTGGTGGGTCTGTGGTGAGAGTGAGTGGTGAGTGAGTGGTGAAGTTGTGGTGATTCTGCGGTGAAGTTGTGAGTCTGTGGTGAAGTTGTGGTGAGTGTGAGTGGTGAGGGGCCACCGTGATGCACAGGTGAAACTCACCTGGAAAAACTCCTGGCCAATGTTCCCTCCCATCTCCCTGCACAACCACGGCAGAGGAGAGAGAGGGGGGGGGGTAGGAAGTGGTGGGGGGGGTGAGACACGGGGCGATCAGGGCGACCATTCGCATGGTTGTCTACGTAGGGTGCGAAAGAAGTTCAACGTCGTACGTGCAAAGGATTCGTTGCCCGCGCATGTGGGGGGGGGGGGGGGGGGGCTGGCTTGCGAGTAGAAATTAATTACCGGCGTAAGGCACTACCACTACGATACGAGGTTACGGTCATCCATAATGTATCCAAAATAAATCACCTGGTGACGCTTGCTGCTACAGCTGTGTTAGCAGTGGTGCACGGATTCACGCAACAAACATTCGTCAATGAAAGGAAACGTGTATAATAGGCGACGTTTCAGGCAATGATGCCCCTTCTTCATAAAAAAAGGGCCATTGCTGTGAACGAAGGTCCTCGTGTATTGCCCACATCGCTGCCAACACGCAGTCAGAACATCCCCATGGCACCACCCGCAGTACCATTCGCTTGTCACGCAGTTCTATTTGGTTCATTTAACACGTCGGCTTTTGGCCCACTCAGAACGCTTCACAGCGGACTTCTGAAGTCACCTGGATGGGCCTCAACACGGAACTAAACACCACCACCACCACCAACCACCTCTTCTTCTTCCTACGTGCCCTGCGAAGAGCCCTCTATCTCGTCCATTCAACACAAGTGCCTCGTCCATTCAATCCCGGGGGAGGAGGGGTTCTTGAATTCTCGGAGCTGACAATCGCAGACTGATTAGCTGAGTGCGGCGTTCTTCACGAACTTTCAGAGGGGGGGGGGAGGGGTTGGTGGGGTGTGGGTGCCACTTTCGCCGATAAGGCATCGTCGGTGTGTTGAGGGGCCGCCACACCATTTCAAACCATTGGGAGTTTGTGACAGCAGCACAGTGATGATGATGATGGGGCACCAGGGGCCATGCTAAAGGCCACCGGGGGGCCACACTAAAGGCCACCAGGGGCCGCATTAAAGGCCACCGGGGGCTGCGCTAAAGGCCACCAGGGGCCACACTAAAGGCCACCAGGGGCCGCACTAAAGGCCACCAGGGGCCACACTAAAGGCCACCAGGGGCCACACTAAAGGCCACCAGGGGCCACACTAAAGGCCACCAGGGGCCGCACTAAAGGCCACCAGGGGCCGCACTAAAGGCCACCAGGGGCCACACTAAAGGCCACCAGGGGCCACACTAAAGGCCACCAGGGGCCACACTAAAGGCCACCAGGGGCCACACTAAAGGCCACCAGGGGCCACACTAAAGGCCACCAGGGGCCACACTAAAGGCCACCAGGGGCCACACTAAAGGCCACCAGGGGCCACACTAAAGGCCACCAGGGGCCACACTAAAGGCCACCAGGGGCCGCATTAAAAGCCACCGGGGGCTGCGCTAAAGGCCACCAGGGGCCGCCGGTGGCCCCCGGGTGGCCTTGCGGCCACGACTGGCGACCAAACCCAGCAGCATCATCGACTCCCTCCAGCCGAGCGGCGCCAGTGTAGCCACAGACTCCAACCTGTCCCTCGGGAGCCCATCGTGCAACATCAACCCACCACCACCACCACGCTCCCCTTGGCTGTCACTCCAATTCCCGTCTTGGTAAAGCGGCCCTCTCATCCGCCCTGCACACCACCACGTGACCCACCCAGTGCCGGACTAAGCTAGTGCGGGGACTGTAGCACATGTTATAAAGGGGCCCTAAATTAAAAAAAACATCAATATTAAAACACAAATATTTTACTTGCATAGTAAAGTAATTGTATATTTTTCATTTGCTATACAGCCAGATAATACGACAAATCGCTAACCTTAAACACCCGGTCGTTTGTAAAAGTTCAAGGCGGTATAGTACTATAGTAATCGAGCAAGTGCAGAATCACTGAACCGGAATGGATAGCTTGAAAGCATTTAGCGCGGGGCCCTTGAAAGTGCGGGGCCCGTAGCTACTACATGTGTAGCTACTACATGTGTAGCAACATGTGTAGCTACTGCATGTGTAGCTACTACATGTGTAGCTACTGCATGTGTAGCTACTGCATGTGTAGCTACTACATGTGTAGCTACTACATGTGTAGCAACATGTGTAGCTACTGCATGTGTAGCTACTACATGTGTAGCTACTGCATGTGTAGCTACTGCATGTGTAGCTACTACATGTGTAGCTACTGCATGTGTAGCTACTGCATGTGTAGCTACTACATGTGTAGCTACTGCATGTGTAGCTACTGCATGTGTAGCTACTACATGTGTAGCTACTACATGTGTAGCTACTACATGTGTAGCTACTACATGTGTAGCTACTACATGTGTAGCTACTACATGTGTAGTAGATACTACATGTGTAGCTACTGCATGTGTAGCTACTACATGTGTAGCTACTGCATGTGTAGCTACTACATGTGTAGCTACTACATGTAGTAGCTACTACATGTGCAGCTACTACATGTGTAGTAGCTACTTGTACTACGAGGATAATCCGACATTGGTACCACCCATCACTAACTACCTCCTCCGATTCGTGGCAGGTATAAACCACGATATCATCCTCCACGTTCTCCTCTGAACCTCCAAGTTGCTTGCCCCCCACGTGGCCAAGATAATCCCTCGATAGAAGCTGCGTGCCTCTATAAAGTACTGAAAGACCAATGACCCCCCCCCCCCACCATCACTTACACAGCAGCCTGATGATTGATGAGTGTTGGAGGTAATTATGACAGTGATTTCAGATAAAACGGTAATAATTACCAGGTTCACACCTTTATTGAGTAATGATTATGAAGATGAGTGATGATCGTGATCACACCACTATCAATGAGCATACTAATTGATCAGTGAGGATTGGCAGTTAAAATAAGTGACGATTACGATGATGACGTATGATGATCATCATAATCAGTGAAGGTCATAACAGTGATCATGATCATAAGTGATCATAACGGTGATTATGATCATGACCGTGATTATATAATTATGATCATAACCAGTGATGACGATTACGTCACTGACGAGGATGGTGGTGGTAGTAGTGATGGTGGTGGTAGTGGTGATGGTGGTGGTAGTGGTGGTGGTAGTGGTGATGGTGGTGGTGATGGTGGTAGTGATGGTGGTAGTGGTGGTGGTAGTGGTGGTGATGATGGTAGTGGTGGTGGTGATAGTGGTGGTGGTGATGGTGGTGGTGATGGTAGTAGTAGTGGTAATGGTGGTAGTAGTGGTGATGGTGGTAGTGGTGTTAGTGGTGATGATGGTGGTGGTTGTAGTGTTAGTGGTGGTGATGGTGGTGGTGGTAGTGGTGATGGTGGTAGTGATGGTAGTGGTGGTGATGATGGTGGTAGTGGTGGTGATGGTGGTAGTGGTGGTGATGATGGTGGTAGTGGTGGTGATGATGGTGGTAGTGGTGGTAGTGGTGGTGATGATGGTGTTAGTGGTGATGGTGGTAGTGATGGTGATGGTAGTAGTAGTGGTAATGGTGGTAGTAGTGGTGATGGTGGTAGTGGTGGTGGTGGCAGTGGTGGTGATGGTTGTAGTGGTGGTGATGGTGGTAGTAGTGGTGATGGTGGTAGTTGTGGTGGTGGCAGTGGTGGTGATGGTAGTAGCAGTGGTAATGGTGGTAGTAGTGGTGATGGTGGTAGTGGTGTTAGTGGTGGTGGTGATAGTGGTGGTGATGGTGGTAGTGGTGTTAGTGGTGGTGGTGATGGTAGTGGTGATGGTGGTAGTGATGGTGTTTGTGGTGGTGGTAGTGGTGATGGTGGTAGTGGTGATGGTGGTAGTGGTGATGGTGATGGTGGTTGCTGTGGCGCAGTTATTTCCACTGCACTCCCCACCCCATCCCGGGCCCCCTTCCATCGCTGCTGCCCCCCACTACCTCCCCCCCACTACCACCCCCCACTACCACCCCCCACTACCACCCCCCCACTACCACCCCCCCACTACCACCCCCCCACTTACCCGACCACTTGGAGGAAGCCCCCCGCGAGACGGTTGAACATGAACATGGTGGCTCAGAGTGGGGAGAGAGCGCGAGGCGTCAGCGAGCTACAGAGTTGGTGGTCGTGGTGGTGGCCGTGGTGGTCGTCGTGGTGGTGGTGCAATAGGCCGTAGTGGGTTGACACTGGGAGTGGCGGGGGGAGGGGCCAGGGGGAGATGGGAGGGGCCAGGAGAGATGGGAGGGGCCAGGGGGAGATGGGAGGGGGGAGATGGGAGGGGCCAGGGGGAGATGGGAGGGGCCAGGGGGGAGATGGGAGGGGGGAGATGGGAGGGGGGAGATGGGAGGGGCCAGGGGGAGATGGGAGGGGGGAGATGGGAGGGGCCAGGGGGAGATGGGAGGGGCCAGGGTTCCGATCCCTCCCCCTTACCCCCTAACCCCTCCCCCTCGCCCCCCCTCCCCCTTACTCCCCATTCACTCGTCACCGCATGATGTGTGTACACGTGTTTGTGTTGCGTGTTGGGGGAGCGGTGGCGCACTGGTTAGCGCGCCGTGCTGCGCTGCAGGAGCAGACGGTGGCTATGAGATGTTAACTACCTCGCCTGGTGTACAGGAGGTCGTGGGTTCGATCCCGACCCTCACGCCTGCTGCTGCTGTGTATTTGGAGTTTGCGTGTCTCTCTCATCATCATCATCACGGTGGCTAGGAGATGTTGACTACCTCGCCTGGTGTACAGGAGGTCGTGGGTTCGATCCTGACCCTCACGCCTGCTGCTGTATATTTGGAGTTTGCGTGTCTCTCTCATCATCATCATCACGGTGGCTAGGAGATGTTAACTACCTCGCCTGGTGTGCAGGAGGTGGTGGGTTCGATCCCGACCCTGATGCCTGCTGCTGTATATTTGGAGTTTGCGTGTCTCTCTCTCTCCCTGTGATCGCGTAGATTTTTCTCCGGGTCCTCCGGTTTTCCCCCTCCACATTTAGAATCAACACCACGCGTTTTAGATTAGTTGGCTACTGCATTAAATATCCACGTGATAAGCCACCACTCCGTTGAGCTATCTTTTGTGACGGGGCCTTGCCTGGTCAAATTTAATTTTTTTAAACATTTTTGTTACATTTTATTTTGAACAGTTACAGCGAATATCCAAACCGGTCCTCTGGGCTTCCCCTAGGTCGACTCAGCCCTAGCAACGACGGTCACTGCATCATCGTGCGCTTTCAAATGCGCTTTTGCGGCCGTCTGGAACGCTCTTCCTTACGATATTAGGCAATCACTGAGAACGATGCACATTGAAACCATCAACATTTAGATTTAAACTTGATTTGGAGCTTTCGTGACTGCAGGAATTATTATTTGGTTCTTTCGGTAAAGTCACGTATAAAGATAAAATAATAAATAAAATACTAGCATACGACGTTTCGATTGCAACACAAGCAATCATCATCAGGTATAAATGAAATAGAAACACAAATCTAGTATACTTAGAAATGTAATGTTAGTAGTAGTATACTTAGAAATGTAATGTAACACAGGGTGTTGACTGTTATGTTATCCGACTCTCTGTTGTATTACATTACATTTCTAAGTATACTAGATTTGTGTTTCTATTTCATTTATACCTGATGATGATTGCTTGTGTTGCAATCGAAACGTCGTATGGTAGTATTTTATTTATTCTTTTTTTCTTTATACGTGACTTTACCGAAAGAACCAAAGAGTATTTCGATTTAAAACTAATTTCTTTAGAGCAGTGTGCAGTGACCATCAGCACTGGGGAGACAAAGGCGGCCGAGCGTGGTGCTGGGTCATCCACACCATCCTGCGCTGTGCCGGCCCCTGTAATTCGCAAAGCGCAACAGTCTGTGGCGGGCCACACGGGGGGGGGGGGGGGGGGAGCTTTGTGTGGGTGACAGGGAACGAGACCACACCCTTGCCATGACTCATGCCCAGTGATGAGAGCCTTTGTGTATGCGCATGGCTGTGTGTGTGTGTGGTTGTGTGTGGGCTGTGTGTGTCTCTGTGTGTGTGTGGCTGTGTGTGTGTGGCTGTGTGTGTGTGTGGCTGTGTGTGTGTGGCTGTGTGTGTGTGGCTGTGTGTGTGTGTGTGGCTGTGTGTGTGTGTCTGTGTGTGTGTGGCTGTGTGTGGGTGTGGCTGTGTGTGTGTGTGTCTGTGTGGGTGTGGCTGTGTGTGTGTGACTGTGTGTGTCTCTGTGGCTAGGTGCTCGCTAACAGCACTTGCCCCTACAGTCTGTTAAGGCTAAACGGGGGATCTTTGTCTCTGTGGCTGAACACTGAGCCGGCACGCGGCCGACCACCTGGGTTCGAATCCACGTTGCAGCAGTGGCGTTGCGGCGAACTTATCAGCTTCGGGCACGGTGGGGGGCACGGGGGGGGGGGGCACGGGGGGGGGGGCACGGGGGGGGCACGGGGGGGGCACGGGGGAAGGCACGGTGGGGGGGAATCTGGGGACCCCCCCCCCCCGCCCATTATTTTATATGCGCAATTTTCGGAAGCCAAATTAAATGAATTTTTTTTTAAAAAGTGGAATGGTAAATGATAGCATTTTCGTGAACGTAATTTAAACCGCGTTATAAATAGGTGTTTGTTTTCTTAGGTTTTTTGGGTAAAGTCACGTAGGTAAAAAAATTCAATTAATAAAAGTAAAATAAAAATAAAATAAAAATCACGACGTTTCGGAGGCAACACAAGCTTCCGTCTTCAGGTGGAACCGTCACAGCACGGTAGCTGTATCAAGCAAGGTAGCTGTATCAAGTAAGAGAAATTCCAAGAAAACAGTCCTTTCTTGGAATTTATCTCACTTGATACAGCTATCGTGCTGTGACGGTTCCACCTGAAGACGGAAGCTTGTGTTGCCTCCGAAACGTCGTGATTTTTATTTTATTTTATTTTATTAATTTAATTTTTTTACCTACGTGACTTTACCGAAAAAAACCTAAGAATATGAATCCTTGCAGTCACGAAAGCTTCGAATCTAGAATTAGGTGTTTGTTGTTGTTCTTTGAACGCAACCTGTTTGTTGAACAGGAATCTCACCAAGGTGATTGTAAAGAGGGGGGGGGGAGGGGGGTCCCGACTTGTAGCTTTGGCCACCAGGGGAGAGGGGGGAGGGGCAAGGCACCCGCCCTGCCCCCCACACTCGTCACTGCCGTGTCAGACAAGGCCTGGGATGGCATCAGGCTCTCAAGCGCGGCCCGGTCTCCAATGAACAATAGAAACCCCATAGACACAGACACCCCATAGACATATAGACCCCACAGATATCGAGACCCCATAGAGACCCCATAGACATAGAGACCCCATAGACATAGACACCCCATAGACATATAGACCCCACAGATATCGAGACCCCATAGAGACCCCATAGACATAGAGACCCCATAGACATAGAGACCCCATAGACATAGACACCCCATAGACATAGAAACCCCATAGACATAGAGACCCCATAGACATAGAGACCCCATAGACATAGAGACCCCATAGACGTAGAGACCCATAGAGACCCCATAGACATAGAAACCCCATAGACATAGAGACCCCATAGACATAGACACCCCATAGACATAGAGACCCCATAGACGTAGAGACCCATAGAGACCCCATAGACATAGAAACCCCATAGACATAGACACCCCATAGACATAGACACCCCATAGACATAGAGACCCCATAGAGACCCCATAGACATATAGACCCCACAGATATCGAGACCCCATAGAGACCCCATAGACATAGAGACCCCATAGACATAGACACCCCATAGACATAGAGACCCCATAGACGTAGAGACCCATAGACATAGAAACCCCATAGACATAGAGACCCCATAGACATAGACACCCCATAGACATAGAGACCCCATAGACGTAGAGACCCATAGAGACCCCATATACATAGAAACCCCATAGACATAGAGACCCCATAGACATAGACACCCCATAAACATAGAGACCCCATAGACGTAGAGACCCATAGAGACCCCATAGACATAGAAACCCCATAGACATAGAGACCCCATAGACATAGACACCCCATAGACATAGAGACCCCATAGACGTAGAGACCCATAGAGACCCCATAGACATAGAAACCCCATAGACATAGAGACCCCATAGACATAGACACCCCATAGAGACCCCAAAGACATAGAAACCCCATAGACATAGAGACCCCATAGACATAGACACCCCATAGACGTAGAGACCCCATAGACGTAGAGACCCATAGAGACCCCATAGACATAGAAACCCCATAGACATAGAGACCCCATAGACATAGACACCCCATAGACATAGAGACCCCATAGAGACCCCATAAACATATAGACCCCACATATATCGAGACCCCATAGAGACCCCATAGACATAGAGACCCCATACACAGAGACCCCATAGAGACCCCATAGACATAGAAACCCCATAGACATAGAGACCCCATAGACATAGACACCCCATAGACGTAGAGACCCCATAGACATAGACACCCCATAGACATAGACACCCCATAGACAGAGACCCCATAGAGACCCCAATAGACATATAGACCCCACAGATATCGAGACCCCATAGAGACCCCATACACATAGAGACCTCATAGAGACCCCATAGACATAGAGACCCCATAGAGACCCCATAGACATAGAGACCCCATAGACAAACGTAGACGGGGTTGTGACTAAACCGGTTTCTCAAGTCTGACGAGTCGCTGGTGTCAGCTCTGTGAACTCTGCCTGCCATGCTGCCTCGAGTGACGTGTCACTTGACAGCTGTAAAAATAGTTTTTAAAAAGAGCTTCATAGCTCATCGGATTTCTCCAGGATGAAAATTCTGATTCTGAGTAAATTGTTGTCGTTGTTGTTGTTGTCACCCCCCCCCCCCCCCCCCGCCACCTTCGACTATCACGGTTGGTACACAAAAAATGTAACATACACACTAGACATAGACTCAACACTGCCCATAGACTCAACACTGCCCATAGACTCAACACTACCCATAGACTCAACACTGCCCATAGACTCAACACTACCCATAGACTAAACACTGCCCATAGACTCAACACTGCCCATAGACTCAACACTACCCATAGACTCAACACTGCCCATAGACTCAACACTACCCATAGACTAAACACTGCCCATAGACTCAACACTGCCCATAGACTCAACA